AGCAAAAATTGGAATTGGGTTGTTATTGATTTCTGTAAGCAGGAAGTCGCCACTCATTTGATGATGTCATATTGCGGAGTCTACCTTTAATGTGGCACTGCTGTCTTGTCTTGAGCGTCATTATTTACATAGTTGTGTCTAACACATTACAATGTACACTAGATGTTCTAAGTACTAACCGATAGAGAAGCAACTTGTCAAAAATCCACATTCCTACTGTATTTAGATTTCTGTTTGGACTTCCTGTTCATTGTTTCAGCCGGTGTTTAAAACTTAATTTCTAAAAGAAAGTTATATAAAAACATTTTAAGTTCTTAAAGTTGCTGCTTTAAAACTTGACAGAACAGTAGTTAATGGAACTGAACTAAAATGCTTGGATAGTAGAACCGGGAGGTATATTACGTTGTGTAATTAGGGATCCTTTTCCTCTTCTAACACATCTTGTCATCTCTGGAAAACATTTCCTTCCTTCTTTTTCCAACTGAATTAACTAATACGTTCCGTATCAGTATGGAAACTATATATGTCCACATTGGATGAAACAATCCCTGTAGCTATGTAATTGGAGTTTGATCAATACTCTGTTTGTATAACAAATTAATGTCTCTGCTTTAGTCCACTGGAAAACAAAGTTACATAGCTCATGGATTTTTCCCTTTTGAGCACAGGTGGAGTTATGAAATCCCATGAAACAATATACCCCCAGAAGACACTCTTCGTTGTCGTAGTACCAAGTTTCCGATCCTAACTCATAACTCTGACATCCTTCTATCCCTTCTATCCCTGTTTGTTTCCACGGTAGCAAAGAGGTGTGGAGTTCTTTGGCTCAACGGTGAAACGTCTTTATTAAGCAGTACATGATAGAGAATAAGCAGCCAGAAACCAACCTTTCAGTCACCCCTGTACTGTGCCACTCCTGCCCTCTCAGGCTAACACCCATTGGAGACACCTAACACTGTGACTGTCTATTCACCCAGCACCTCAATAACAATAACAACAATAACCTCTGACCCCTATAGGAAGAGCTGCATCTCCTACTTGTACTACAGTACCACAGCTAATACTACTACTACTAATAATACTACTACTACTACAACTACTACTAATACTACTACTCAGTGGTGTAAAGTACTTAAGTAAAAAATACTTTAAAGTACTACTTAAGTCGTTTTTTTGGGGTATCTTTACTTTACTATTAACTTCTACTTTTACTTCACGACATTCCTAAAGAAAATAATGTACTTTTTACTCATACATTTTCCCTGACACCCATAAGTACTCATTACATTTTGAATGCATTCCTACTGCCTCTGATCTGGTAGACTCACTAAACACACATGCTTGGTTTGTAAATGGTGTCTGAGTGCTGGAGTGTGCCCCTGGCTAGCTGTAAAAAAACCACACATGCTTGGTTTGTAAATGGTGTCTGTGTGCTGTAGTGTGCCCCTGGCTAGCTGTAAAAAAAAAAAAAACACACATGCTTGGTTTGTAAATGGTGCCTGAGTGCTGGAGTGTGCCCCTGGCTAGCTGTAAAAAAACCACACATGCTTGGTTTGTAAATGGTGTCTGTGTGCTGTAGTGTGCCCCTGGCTAGCTGTAAAAAAACAAAAAAAAACACACATGCTTGGTTTGTAAATGGTGCCTGAGTGCTGGAGTGTGCCCCTGGCTAGCTGTAAAAAAAACCACACATGCTTGGTTTGTAAATGGTGTCTGTGTGCTGTAGTGTGCCCCCTGGCTAGCTGTAAAAAAAAAAAAAAACACACATGCTTGGTTTGTAAATGGTGCCTGAGTGCTGGAGTGTGCCCCTGGCTAGCTGTAAAAAAGCAACAACAAGAAAATAGTGCTGTCTTGATTGCTTAATAGAAGGAATTTGAAATGATTTATACTTTTACTTTTGAGGCTTAAGTATATTTTAGCAATTACATTTACTTTAGATACTTAAGTATATTTAAAACCAAATACTTTTAGACTTTTACTCAAGTAGTACTTTACTGGGTGACTTTCACTTTTACTTGAGTCATTTTCTATTACGGTATCTATTTCTATTACTTTTACACAAGTATGACAACTGGGTACTTTTTCCCACCACTGCTACTACTACTACTACAACTACAACTACTACTACCACTCCTTTAACAGATAGCTCCACCTCTTCTGATGATGCAATGGAAAAAAACATTAACTGACAGTTACTGTATATCATCTCAATCGTCTCCCCACGATACTGTTTGAACTGTACTTCACTCTCCCTCACTAGGTGTTATAGAGGATTACAATAGGAAGGAAAATACTTCAGCGGCCCTTCCTTCGCAATAGTAGTAGGTGCGAAGACCAATCGAAGCGTTCCAGTCATGCCAGGCTATAAATAGCTGTTGAAGTGTGTGCAAGCTCAGCACATTTTCATATGAGGAGCCTAGCTGTCATCACCAAAATCCTTTGTTTACACTGGGCATAATAGAATGTGTAGTAGATTGAAGTAGATTAACTGGTTTGTTGTAATGATCTGTTACTTTTGATTTATCCAAACAGTACGGCGAATAGGGTTTGACATATTTTCTATTTGACAAAATAATGTTATTAAAATCATGATTATGTTTTTTTGTAAGGGTAAAATATTTTCCGTAAGGGTACAATTGACCCTAACAAGCTGTCTTTCTCTGTAGAGTACTCCCTGACATCAGAAGGAGTCTTCAGCCATACTGGGGACTATATCTCTCCTCTTTTGATTGAATTGTAGGTTTGGCAATGCTCCAACAAGGGGCTCTGTTGAACGCTTGAAGCTCGGAAGAAAGAGTTTTAACATTGCTGTTGATTCTGGGGTGGAATTTCAGTTTTCATTGGGCTGATTAACTTAAATGGGTTATTTTAATGGTTTAACCTACGCATTTGGGCCATGGAACAAGAAAAAAACGTTGGACAGAGAAGCAGGATTTTATTATGAACATACAGTAGTATTGGGCTTGATCCATGTTTTACGGGTTGGGCTGAGGCTTGGTTCCAACTAAAACCATTTCTGGGACGACTGCGAAATCTTGGGAGATTCAATACATTTTAACTTGTGCATGTTCTAACTTGATGTGAGATTCAAGTATTATTTGCTAAGATTATAATTTTTCTGAACTGAAAAATGTATTTTATACCAACTGTATTTTATCAGATTAACTAAATCCCATATAGTTCCCTATCATGATAAAATCCCTATCTGACATTACATGGTCAAAGAGACAGGGCATAGACTGACCCTTCCACAGTGAAGGCTACAGGATCTGCTCGTTGGATTGTGCGGCTGACTGTAGAGTTGAGCGTCAGGGACTCCCTCCTCTGGTGAAAATGAGACACACACTGATTTCCATAAGGAAGATTTCCACTATAGTACAGCCTCAGTCCAGTCCGAGTCTACGTTTAGTTTTACTGGAGGAATTTTGTTTAAAAACTAAGCACTTAAACATACTCACAAAAAGCTTAAATATAAAAAAAATGATTTCAGAGAAATGACAATGAAGGTTCAGTGACTAGAAAGGAAAACAACATGAGATTAATTTTATCACCACCAATATTCACAATTCAACACTATCCTCCCTTTTTGTTCTGCTAATTAGAATGCAACTATACAAACACAAAATGATCAAGGTTAATAAATAAAAACAGGTTATTTACAATTATGCAAGACACAATGCTTCAAAAAGGCAAACGATGCAGTGTCATTCTACCACAATTGATGGTCTGAAACCTCCAAAGTCCACATTATACAAAATAAAGTACAGTTGTCAGTGCTAACAAAATTCCGTGCAAAAAGGCATGTCAAATTCAAAGGGTTTCAATAATGTTTGAAACGTCAACTTAAATAAGGAGATGTACAGTAGGGTACACAATACAAAATGCCTGTAATTCCAACACACTGGGCACACACTGGTTCAATCAACGTTGTTTCCATGTCATTTCAATGAAATTGACATCTGTGCCCAGTGGGAACTGAACAATAAAGGTAGTGAATTAGCAGTTATGCCACACTGTATGCATTATTTGACACAAATAATTCACACATTTTAACAGTAACCCCGTCATGGTATTAGGCTACATCTTTATAATGTGTCAAATGTGTCCCATTAGCGAAAATAATCTAAATTGGGACAATACAACACAATGTCATCAGTTACACTATTATATGTTTTGTACCAGTCGTCTCTGAATTTACTGGAAGGTAGGAATTGGGAGGAACAGTATGAGAGGAATTAATAAAAAAATTTTTTTTCAAATGTGCACTAATACGTATTGAACGTCAACACATTCTACTGGGCCATCCACTTTGAGCAGGTGAAAAGTGTTATTTTCTATTCAGGACATGTCTATGTCTGTGTCTGTGAGGGGAGAAGCAGTGGGAATTGTGGGGGTCGGCTCTGGGTGAGGTGAGGGGTCAGCCGGACAGTGGTCAGAGTATTTTCAGCTATGGCTTGAATTGGCTTCATGTCACAACTAAAGTGAATCATGCAATGATACAGTGTGGCCAGAACTGGCATCAGGAGTGGGCAGTGACCACATGACAGGGTAGCCTACGGACTCCCTGGCCTAGAGGACACACAGCTAGTCCAGGGGCCAGTGGAATATATGGCTTGGCTACAAATAGCATCCTGTTAGTGGCTGAATATTGACCATGCTCTTCAGTTTAGACACAAACTGTTTTAACATTCTCCACCCAGACGTACGAAATGATAGACTCACACTTTGACATCTGAGACTGTGGGTTATCATGCTGTATTGAACAACCAAGCCACCTCGAATTGGTTGGGTTATAGTCGTTGAGTGACACACAAACACATACACAAACAGAACTGATCAGTCCACTCATCCATCTTTAAACCCCATAACTGTTTTTAACATCAAATTGCATAAAGTCCTTGAGAAACGCTACTTTCAATACCAGTGTTACCCATTAACAGATAGTGCCGTAATCTGTAATGTAACTATTACAGTATACTGTATGTCATTGAATTTTTTGGGGGAATATAAAATAATTACATTTCACACTATTTTTCCAATGTAACTACAACGATTACTTTTAATAAATATGTGCAATTAAAACATAATTACCAATTCAATGCATTTCAGACTGACAAGCATGTGTTATTTTTTTATGCAAGTATGTTAGTCAAATCCAATCAGGCATTTCTTGTTACAGTTCTATAGGCCTGATGTTTAGATACCAAACAGAATTTCTATATTCCCTATATAGTCCCTTGTAGGTCAGTTGGTAGAGCATGGCGCTTGCAACGCCAGGGTTGTGGGTTCGTTTCCCACGGGGGGCCAGTATGAAACTGTATGCACTCACTAACTGTAAGTCGCTCTGGATAAGAGCGTCTGCTAAATGACAAAAATTTAAAAATGTAAATGTAATTGTTAATGAGTCAGTCCATGATTAAGAGGCACTCATAGCCCTCTGTTAGTACATTATGGCACCTATTTCCTGATGGTATTCACACATTTCTAGACCTGTGACCATGACAAAACACAGAATTCCGGTTCCGGCTTCAGTCTAAATTGTATGGTATTCCCAACCAGCGATAGTCAATCCAACCACCAATCCAATCAGTCTGGAAAAATACTTAGTCATACTTGTCAGTTTTTACATCTAAGTGAAGTATTGTAAACTTACACAACAACTTTCTCTCTTCTCAAATTAAACTTTTTTTCTTCCCACACCATCTCTTCCAATTGCACAAGAACCTTTAAGAATAAATTAAAGGGGAAAGGAACCCTTTAGGTCCTAATAAATATACGCTCTGATAGATGAGAGAGGTAGGGAGGAGTGCGAGCACAGAAGCAGGGATGGAGGTACTGTATGGTGGTGGTGGTGGTGGCGGTGGGGACAGCTGCCGCCTTGTCCCTCTCTAAGTGGTGAGCTTGGAGTAGTTGGGCGGTGAGAAGCGTCTGCGCAGGTACTTGAGGATGTAGAGGGGCAAACAGCTCACCAGGGTGATGACCGTCACCTTCCACAGGAAAGACAGCGTGGCAATGAAATATACATCTAGAAACAGTCAAGGAAACAGAGGGCAGGATGGTGGGTCATTCAAACAGAGATGTTTTATACAGTGCCCCCCGTAATTATTGGGACAGTGACATTTAGTTTTTTGTTTTGGCTCTGTACTCCAGCACTTTGGGATTTTAAATGATACAATGACTATGAGGTTAAAGTGCAGACGGTTAGCTTTAATTTGAGGGTATTTTCATCCATATCGGGTGAACCGTTTAGAAATTACAGCACTTTTTGTACATTTCCCCCCCATTTTAGGGGACCAAAGGTATTGGGACAAATTTACTTACGTGTATTAAAGTAGTCAAAAGTTTTGTATTTGGTCCCAAATTCCTAGCATACAATGATTACGCCAAGCGTGTGACTCCACTAACTTGTTGGATGCATTTGCTGTTTTGTGTTTTTACTTTAATACACATAAGTGAATTTGTCCCAATACTTTTGGTCTCCTAAAATGGGTGGACTATGTACAAAAAGTGCTGTTATTTCCAAACGGTTTACACGATATGGATAACACCCTCAAATTAAATGGTATCATTTCAAATCCAAAGTGCTGGAGTACAGAGCCAAAAGAAGAAAGAAATGCTTCACTGTCACAATAATGATGGACGGCACTGTAGATGAGGAATTGAGTAAGTATAACAATGTAATCAGGCTAGTATGACTTCTGTTCGTGTTTCAGTTGCCACTACTCAGTTCATTTAGTGACTTAAAAGGTTATGTTAAATGCAGCCAATTTTATCTCAATATTAAATAATTTCTGGGTAACAATATAGTACATTACTGTGATTGTTTTCAATTAAAATAGTCAAAAAGAAACAAACAAAGCTTCTTAGCAAAGAGCAATGTCCCCGTGGGGATGGGGAAACTGAAAACTAGCTGTTTTTGGCAGAGAGGTTTGGACCTCTTTGTCTTATTGGTCTATTAACTAATTTACCAGGCAGGCCAAAACTCTATCCCACCAAAACAGTCTGAAATTTCAGGCAGTCTTTTCAATCAGCATTATCATCATTTCACAGTATTATTCCAACCTCATAGTTTGGAAATATATAAAACACATGAAAATCACATTTTTGACTGCACTGGCCCTTTGAAAATAGGAGATTAGGGAGACCTAGCATGTTGCTAATATGGCAGATGAGTGAAATGGCTTACCATGTAATTGACTTGGATTCAAGCTGTTCCATTCAGGGACATTATGTACCCTTTGAGTTACTTGTGACGTTAAACGTTAAAATGGCCTCTCTTTTAAGAAAGAGAAGGACGAGAAGGGTACTTTGACCACGTTCAGGTCATAATGCTGTGGTCTGAAAATGGACCTCCACACCCCACATAAAGGCCTAAAATAACGCTTGGAAAACGCAACTACAGACTGTGAAGTAACTGATTGGAATCTATGCAACTACTCAATTTCTTGCATTTCTCGCTTCACTTGGGCTTTTTAAGTGACATATGTCTGCCGCCTACCACTGTTTATATTTCATGAACAACATAATTACAGCCAACATTAAATTCCATAAAAAACATAATTGGCAGTGTGTGAGGTTCTACATGTGGCACAGTAGTTTCTAAACTACAGCTAGCTGTTTAGTCATAAACACAAAGACCTTGGCCAGCATGTGTGTGGTAGCGGGAGCAGGAAACTAACACGAGGCTTTGGCATTTCCACTTCAACACTCTTGCATGCCGGTGGCTGGCTGCACTCCTCTGGTACTGTTTGTCCCTTTATTCACCTTTAGCAGGACTTCCTACTGGCAGTACATGCCAGGTCTCAGACAGCCCAGGGGCACAGTATGAATGGAGAAGAGCCTATCATCACTGAATGCTGACGTACAACTCCAAGGGCAGTGAAAGCCCATTACTATCAATCTATCACTGTGTACAAGTTAATACAATTGTGGATGCATTATTATTTTTCTCATCTGTATCAAAATTCCTGACATCGGAATTCCTTGGCCAGAAACATGTCATCAAATGTGTGTGGGTGTTAAGTATGTGTGTTTACCCACCGATGAACTCGTGCAGGAAGACGAGTGAGGCAATATAGCAGGCCAGACTGAGTAGCTCGGCTACGATCATGAGCCAGTGCCATGTCTGGATGGTGAGCGCCACCATCAGCAGCTCCGTGAGGATCAGAGAGGTGAAGGAGATGGCCACGATGTGGACAAACTCCGACTCAAACAGCAGCAACGCCCCATACATGATGATACTGCCTGAGGAGCACAGAGAACAGGTTAGCACAATGTCAAACGCACTGCCACTGCTTGTATCGATGTGCATGTGCTTTTATTGTCAATCAACGGACATCTGTATGGTGCCGTTTAAATGCATGACTGGCAAACTTTAATGCTCAACCTGAACCTTGGCTCTAACTGTTCTGTTATACATCAGTTATTCCAACACTACCATCAGAGGAATGGACTACAGAAATACAATGAAGAGAGAGTTTAACATTTAAAAAATAAGGGGATCGATGTCAGGATTTGTAGCTGTGAGGGGAAGAGGATGGGAAATGTAACACGTTTCCATAATTTTTAACACTTTTCCATGTTATTGTGACCTTTAAAACGGGAAGTAAAGATACACTTCCAGCGATTGAAAATGTAATTAATACCAACAGATCTGACATGGGTCATACAGTATCACAGTTATGTATAAAAGACAGCAACATTGTACTTGAAGGTATTGCTTATACACATCACATAGAGTAAAGTTCAGAGTGGTTGGGATAAACCAGATGTACATTTTCCGTTGTACATTCAGTACATTGGACAATAAAATATTTTTCTTCTTATAAAAGCATACAAAACATTGCCTCCGTGGACAACTGTAATGGAATCGATACCAAACAACCCACCAATGGCCTTAAACACAGAAACCAAAGCCCACTCAATAGCAAATAAGGATAAAAAGGATAATGGCAAAGGAAATGTCAGAATATTCTGCCACACTCTGTTTTGAGAGGGAGAGGTGGGAGTTAGGGACTGAGCGCTGAGCTGTAGACTAAAGGTTTAGGGTGTAGCTTTGGATGATTCTGACAACGCCTTTGCAATACAAATAGTCCTTGTTGGAAAACCACCTTAGGTTATTTAACATTTACAAACCACAGACATAAATAAACTCCACTTCTATTAATTAAGAAGAAAGTGTGTGGGCTGGTGGGGAGCATCATGGATCCTACACCACAGGGCAGGGCAGTTTCTAAAGTACTATCTGTGTGAGAGAGGCCTAAAGGAATTAGATGTTTTCCCCAACAACAAAACATAACAAATTCCTAAGAATCTATAGGAATGCAAGCCTTTATTTCTACTTAGTTCCATTATTACTTCCATCACACATTGCATCAATGTCTTCTTACCTTGGTAGATACTTATTAGGACCCATATCAGAAAGGTCTTAAAGGACAAAGGTCGACCCTGAGAGAGGAATAGAAAAATAACATATTTAATACAATATAATTAACTATAAATACACTCACGATAACAGTGACATTAAATGAAATCTGAACAGAGTGTGTGTGTATACTGTAGATACAGTGCCTTGCAAAAGTATTCATTCCCCTTGGCGTTTTTCCTATTTTGTTGCATTACAACTTGTAATTTAAATTGATTTTTATTTGGATTTCATGTAATGGACATACACAAAATAGTCAAAATTGGTGAAGTGAAATGAAAAAAATTACTTGTTTAAAAAAATTCAAAAAACATAAATAACGGAAAAGTGATGCATGCATATGTATTCACCCCCTTTGCTATGAAGCCCCTAAATAAGATCTGGTGCAACCAATTACCTTCAGAAGTCACATAATTAGTTCAATAAAGTCCAACTGTGTGCAATCTTAGCGTCACATGATCTGTCACATGATCTCAGTATGATCCCCTCCTCTCTTCTCCAGACCATTTCCGGAGACCTTCTCCCTTACCTCACCTCGCTCATCAACTCATCCTTGACCGCTGGCCATGTCCCTTCCGTCTTCAAGAGAGCGAGAGTTGCACCCCTCCTCAAAAAACCTACACTCGATCCCACCGATGTCAACAACTACAGACCAGTATCCCTTCTTTCTTTTCTCTCCAAAACTCTTGAGCGTGCCGTCTCTAGCCAACTCTCCTGCTATCTCTCTCAGAATGACCTTCTTGATCCAAACCAGTCAGGTTTCAAGACTGGTCATTCAACTGAGACTGCTCTTCTCTGTGTCACGGAGGCTCTCCGCACTGCTAAAGCTAACTATCTCTCCTCTGCTCTTATCCTTCTAGACCTACAGTGGGGAAAAAAAGTATTTAGTCAGCCACCAATTGTGCAAGTTCTCCCACTTAAAAAGATGAGAGAGGCCTGTAATTTTCATCATAGGTACAAGTCAACTATGACAGACAAAATGAGGAGAAGAAATCCTGAAAATCACATTGTCGGATTTTTAATGAATTTATTTGCAAATTATGGTGGAAAATAAGTATTTGGTCAATAACAAAAGTTTCTCAATACTTTGTTATATACCCTTTGTTGGCAATGACACAGGTCAAACGTTTTCTGTAAGTCTTCACAAGGTTTTCACACACTGTTGCTGGTATTTTGGCCCATTCCTCCATGCAGATCTCCTCTAGAGCTGTGATGTTTTGGGGCTGTCGCTGGGCAACACGGACTTTCAACTCCCTCCAAAGATTTTCTATGGGGTTGAGATCTGGAGACTGGCTAGGCCACTCCAGGACCTTGAAATGCTTCTTACGAAGCCACTCCTTCGTTGCCCGGGCGGTGTGTTTGGGATCATTGTCATGCTGAAAGACCCAGCCACGTTTCATCTTCAATGCCCTTGCTGATGGAAGGAGGTTTTCACTCAAAATCTCACGATACATGGCCCCATTCATTCTTTCCTTTACACGGATCAGTCGTCCTGGTCCCTTTGCAGAAAAACAGCCCCAAAGCATGATGTTTCCACCCCCATGCTTCACAGTAGGTATGGTGTTCTTTGGATGCAACTCAGCATTCTTTGTCCTCCAAACACGACGAGTTGAGTTTTTACCAAAAAGTTATATTTTGGTTTCATCTGACCATATGACATTCTCCCAATCCTCTTCTGGATCATCCAAATGCACTCTAGAAAACTTCAGACGGGCCTGGACATGTACTGGCTTAAGCAGGGGGACACGTCTGGCACTAAAGGATTTGAGTCCCTGGCGGCGTAGTGTGTTACTGATGGTAGGCTTTGTTACTTTGGTCCCAGCTCTCTGCAGGTCATTCACTAGGTCCCCCCGTGTGGTTCTGGGATTTTTGCTCACCATTCTTGTGATCATTTTGACCCCACAGGGTGAGATCTTGCGTGGAGCCCCAGATTATCAGTGGTCTTGTATGTCTTCCATTTCCTAATAATTGCTCCCACAGTTGATTTCTTCAAACCAAGCTGCTTACCTATTGCAGATTCAGTCTTCCCAGCCTGGTGCAGGTCTACCATTTTGTTTCTGGTGTCCTTTGACAGCTCTTTGGTCTTGGCCATAGTGGAGTTTTGAGTGTGACTGTTTGAGGTTGTGGACAGGTGTCTTTTATACTGATAACAAGTTCAAACAGGTGCCATTAATACAGGTAACGAGTGGAGGACAGAGGAGCCTCTTAAAGAAGAAGTTACAGGTCTGTGAGAGCCAGAAATCTTGCTTGTTTGTAGGTGACCAAATACTTATTTTCCACCATAATTTGCAAATAAATTCCTTAAAAATCCTACAATGTGATTTTCTGGATTTTTTTTTCTCAATTTGTCTGTCATAGTTGACGTGTACCTATGATGAAAATTACAGGCCTCTCTCATCTTTTTAAGTGGGAGAACTTGCACAATTGGTGGCTGACTAAAAAGATTTGGCATGGGTCCTCAGATCCTCAAAAAATTCTACAGCTGCACCATCGAGAGCATCCTGACTGGTTGCATCACCGCCTGGTATGGCAACTGCTTGGCCTCCGACCGCAAGGCACTACAGAGGGTAGTGCGTACGGCCCAGTACATCACTGGGGCAAAGCTTCCTGCCATCCAGGACCTCTATACCAGGCGGTGTCAGAGGAAGGCCCTCAAAATTGTCAAAGACTCCAGCCACCCTAGTCATAGACTGTTCTCTCTGCTACCGCACGGCAAGCGGTACCGGAGTGCCAAGTCTAGGTCCAAAAGACTTCTCAACAGCTTCTACCCCCAAGCCATAAGACTCCTGAACAGCTAATCATGGCTACCCGGACTATTTGCACTGCCCCCCCACCCCATCCTTTTTACGCTGCTGCTACTCTGTTAAGTATTTATGCATAGTCACTTTAACTCTACCCACATGTACATATTACCTCAACTACCTCAACTAGCCGGTGCCCCCGTACATTGACTCTGCAACGATACCCCCCTGTATATATAGCCTCCCTACTGTCACTTTATTTTACTTCTGCTCTTTTTTTTCTCAACACTTTTTTTGTTGTTGTTTTATTCTTACTTTTTTTGTTTAAAATAAATGCACTGTTGGTTAAGGGCTGTAAGTAAGCATTTCACTGTAATGTCTGCACCTGTTGTATTCGGCGCATGTGACCAATAAAATTTGATTTGATTTGATTTGACTAAATACTTTTTTCCCCCACTGTACCTGCACCTTTGATACTGTGAACCATCAGATCCTCCTCTCCACCCTCTCCAAGTTGGGCATCTCCGGCGCTGCTCACTCTTGGATTGCGTCCTACCTTACAGGTCGCTCCTACCAGGTGGCGTGGCGAGAATCTGTCTCCGCACCACGTGCTCTCACCTCTGGTGTCCCCCAGGGCTCAGTTCTAGGCCCTCTCCTATTCTCTCTATACACCAAGTCACTTGGCTCTGTCATATCCTCACATGGTCTCTCCTATCATTGCTACGCAGACGACAAACAATTAATTTTCTCCTTTCCCCTTCTGATAACCAGGTGGCGAATCGCATCTCCGCATGTCTGGCAGACATATCAGTGTGGATGTCGGATCACCACCTCAAGCTGAACCTCGGCAAGACGGAGATGCTCTTCCTCCCGGGGAAGGACTGCCCGCTCCATGATCTCGCCATCACGGTTGACAACTCCATTGTGTCCTCCTCCCAGAGTGCAAAGAACCTTGGCGTGACCCTGGACAACACCCTGTCGTTCTCCGCTAACATCAAAGCGGTGACCCGATCCTGCAGGTTCATGCTCTACAACATTCGCAGAGTACGACCCTACCTTACACAGAAAGCGGCACAGGTCCTAATCCAGGCACTTGTCATCTCCCATCTGGATTACTGCAACTCGCTGTTGGCTGGGCTCCCTGCCTGTGCCATTAAACCCCTACAACTTATCCAGAACGCTGCAGCCCGTCTGGTGTTCAACCTTCCCAAGTTCTCTCATGTCACCCCGCTCCTCCGCACACTCCACTGGCTTCCAGTTGAGGCTCGCATCTACTACAAGACCATGGTGCTTGCCTACGGAGCTGTGAGGGGAACGGCACCGCCTTACCTTCAGGCTTTGATCAGACCCTACACCCATCCACCTCTGGCCTGCTAGCCCCCCTATCTCTACGGAAGCACAGTTCCCGCTCAGCCCAGTCAAAGCTATTCGCTGCTCTGGCACCCCAATGGTGGAACAAGCTCCCCCACGACGCCAGGACAGCGGCGTCACTGACCACCTTCCGGAGACACTTGAAACCCTACCTCTTTAAGGAATACCTGGAATAGTATAAAAGTAATCCTTCGACCCCCCCATAAAAAAAACAAAAAAACAAAAAACAAACAAAAAAGTGGTTGTCCCACTGGCTATCATAAGTTGAATGCACCAATTTGTAAGTCGCTCTGGATAAGAGCGTCTGCTAGATGACGTAAATGTAAATGTAAATGTATATATACACCTGTTCTGAAAGGCCGCAGAGTCTGCAACACCACTAAGCAAGGGCCAAAACCAAGCAAGCGGCACCATGAAGACCAACGAGCTCTCCAAACAGGTCAGGGACAAAGTTGTGGAGAAGTACAGATCAGGATTGGGTTATAAAAAAATATCAGACACTTTGAACATCCACGGAGCCCCATTAACTCCATTATTAAAAAATTGAAAGAATATGGCCCCACAACAAACCTGCCAAGAGAGGGCCGCCCACCAAAACTCACGGACCAGGCAAGGAGGGCATTAATCAGAGAGGCAACAAAGAGACCAAAGATAACCCTGAAGGAGCTGCAAATCTCCACAGCGGAGATTGGAGTATTTGTCCATAGGATCACTTTAAGCTGTACACTCCACAGAGCTGGGCTTTACTGAAGAGTGGCCAGAAAAAAGCCATTGCTTAAAGAAAAAATAAGCAAACATGTTTGGGAGACTCCCCAAACATATGGAAGAAGATACTCTGCTCAGATGAGACTAAAATTGAGCTTTTTGGCCATCAAGGAAAACGCTATGTCTGGCGCAAACCCAACACCTCTCATCACCCAGAGAACACCATCCCCACAGTGAAGCATGGTGGTGGCAGCATCATGCTGTGGGGATGTTTTTCCATCGGCAGGGACAGGGAAACTGGTCAGAATTGAAGGAATGATGGATGGCGATAAATACAGGGAAATTCTTGAGGGAAACCTGTTTCAGTCTTCCAGAGATTTGAGACTGGGACGGAGGTTCACCTTCCAGCAGGACAATGACCCTAAGCATACTGCTAAAGCAACACTCGAGTGGTTTAAGCGGAAACATTTAAATGTCTTGGAATGGCCTAGTCAAAGCCCAGACATCAATCCAATTGAGAATCTGTGGTATGACTTAAAGATTGCTGTACACCAGCAGAACCCATCCAACTTGAAGGAGCTGGAGAAGTTTTGCCTTGAAGAATGGGCAAAAATCCCAAGCTTATAGAGACATACCCCAAGAGACTTGCAGCTGTAATTGCTGGTGGCTCTACAAAGTATTGACTTTGGGTAGGTGAATAGTTATGCACGCTCATGTTGTCTGTTTTTTTTGTCTTATTTCTTGTTTGTTTCACAAGAAAAAATATTTTGCATCTTCAAAGTGGTAGGCATGTTGTGTAAATCAAATGATACAAACCCCCCAAAAATCAATTTTCATTCCAGGTTGTAAGGCAACAAAATAGGAAAAATGCCAAGGGGGGTGAATACTTTCGCAAGCCACTGTATACTACTCTGAAGGTTATGGAAATTTATGCAGTAGATTATTTTGATATAATGCATATTTTCAGTCATATTATACAGCAATATTATACAGCCATATTCTACAGCCATTTCTACAGTCATATTATACAGCCATATTATACGGCCATATTATACAGCCAATAAAGTCAAATAATGCAGACAGTGTATTACTTTTAGGAGATCCTTATATAACTCAGGATAGAGCATAGCTACTTCTGACTTGACATCTTTATCCAACACGAGGGAGAACACAGGGAACATGGTGTAGATGGTGGAGTAGCTAGAATAAAGAACATTAACAATTTAATGGGAATTGATCAATGATTTATGTAAGAAATTAAACACAGAAACTATGTTTTAACTGAGAAGTTAGGCAGGTAAATGTAACAAATACAGTTATTACATTTTTCCCCAAACGATAGAACATTTCAGGCATCTCATTTCCTGACATTTCTCAAAATCGATTTATGCTGGATATAAAATTAAAGCTGAAGCTTATTCAAGTATGGTTACTTATATAAATTCTCACAGACGTCAATGGAGTGCTCTGAGCTCCATTCTAAGGCTGAAGAGGGTCTTTTAATTAGATTTTGATGACTCAGCAGGGTTAAAGTAATTTCATATTTTTTCTACATTCAACCCAATGCAACAATATGTCAACACAATCTCAATGTCATAGCAACACGACTAACACATAGCTGAAATGCCATCCTGATAAGCCACTGCTATTGAGAAAAGATCAGCTCAGCTCAGCTCACCCAATAATGAGAAATCCTTGGTAGAGGGGGACAGACGCAAAGTAGAAGACAGAGGAGAAGACAGCCTGGGGGAAGAAGAGATCATGAATGAGTCATCATCATAGCAAAATTGTATTATACTGTGAAAGAGGAGTTAATCTGTGTACATTGGCGGGTAGGAGTTAAGATCAGAATTAATGGTGGATTGGCTGCTGTGGGTGAAAATCCAGCACTTGCAGAAAGAGGAAATTTGAAATATATGTATAATTATTTAACTACAAATATCGTACATGTTAGCGAAAATAGCTGTAAGTAGCAGCAGAAGACGTACTGTTGTCCGTTAATTTACTCCAATCAGGGGAGGGGTGGTAGGGTTGGGGGGGTTCATTTCATATTGAGAACTGTAATACACTACTACAAAACATAATTTACATCATTTTCAAAACAATATACTTATTACTTTCATTTAAGCTATATGGAATTATTTTAAGAAGGTCATACCAAGGACCATTTTGCTATTTGACTTCGAATTTTAAGACCTCTTGAAGTATCAAGAAGATATACACTACCAGTCAAAAGTTTGGACACACCTACTCATTCAAAGATTTTTCTTTATTTTTACAATTTTTTACATTGTAGAATAATAGTGAAGACATCAAAACATATGGAATCATGTAGTAACCAAAAAAGTGTTAAACAAATCCAAATATATTTCATATTTGAGATTCTTCAAATAGCCACCCTTTGCCTTGAATACAGCTTTGCACACTCATGGCATTACAGATTTTTTATTATGCTAATTAGATTTCCGCGAGGGCGCGGACATCGACTCCTGGGGGTTAACAGCTGTGGTTGGGGGCAGCGTTAATCCGAGACACATTGGGGGCCTCCCGAACGAGTCTATGGCCTGGTCTGGGAGACTATAGGGCTGAAGAGCTGGCCTGGTGCTTGGGCTGTGGTACTCACTAGGGCTGAGGCTGGGGATTAGACGCTGAAGGACGGGGCCTCCCAGAAGAGCTCCTGGGGTCCCCTGCTCTGACTCACTCCCCACCCTGCTCCACCTCTCTATGCCTGGCCCTAGGTACTCTCACTACCCACTGCCTCTGGGGCTCTGGTGCTGGTGCTGCATGGTGACGAGGCTTCCAGAGAAGCTGCTGGCACTCCCTGTCCTGACACTCCTCACTCCACTCCACCATTTGGTACCCTGGTCCTGACACACTCCCCACCCCGCTCCACCATTTGGTACCCTGGTCCTGGCTCACTCCCCACCCAATTCCACCATTTGGTACCCAGATCCTGACTCACTCCCCACCCCACTCCACTCCACCATTTGGTACCCTGGTCCTGCCTACCTGCATGGTGCTGATGCACAGGCTCCGGTGGATGACGAACTGGGAGAGGCCGGCGGATCTCTTGTAGCTGTTCCGCCCGTGGACCATGAGGAGTCTGCCCAAGTGCTTGAACTGAGTCACAGAGAAGTCTGCAGCCAGCGATGCCTGTTTCCCTTCCTGTCAACCAACAACATGGTGGTGGAATTTTTAAGACATTCTAAGATACATTTAGAAAAGGTTAGCAAAGGTCTTTGGTAACCAGCATAACACTTTTTACGAGTGTATATAAAGAAAGGTTTAGAGGAAACAAGTTCCCTATTTCTGCCACAGTTAAATCAATATCTACCAACTACTGACTTTATGTGGAGCTCTGGTCCATAGCAAGGTGTCAATAAGGTAGGAACTCTACATGGTTGACCTGTCAGTACTACAGTTCAAGAAGTCCCAATCAGAACAGAAGACAATACCACATTGTCAGAAGACAACGTCACATTCATTTCCTCTACACCCATGACATGTTTTCACACAGTCAAAAGGGAATCATCTGTGCATGAAATGACATAGTGACAAATGGATGTTAAAAGGTGCTCTGGCCAGAGGGGAGCCAGCTCCCAGCAAACACACGGCACAGGCTGACAGCAGCGACAGTGTGTGTGTGAAAGCATCAGGGTGACAGGGACAGTGTGTGTGACAGGGACAGAGAGATTCTTACTTTGCCCTCCACTCCCACGCCACAGTCGGCTTCCTGGATCATGCTGACATCGTTTCCTCCATCCCCTAAGAGAAAACAAACAGACAGTGGAAGTGTCAGGAGGAACACGTCTGTTAATGTGACTCACAGCAGAGAGGGCTTTGTGTGTGTGTGTGTGTGTGTGTTCGTGTGTCTGTCTGTGTCTGCCTGCCTGTCTGTCTGTCTGTGTGTGCGTGCGACTCCCTCGATCGGACATCAATCATTACCCAAAGCAAATACTATGATGAAAACTGTTTATCAAGTTTATATCATGAAAACAATACCATTCAATATCTTAAATCGTACAGGTCAGTAACCCTGCAGTGAAATGTCATTGGAGAGTTTCAGTGAGCTGAATTGAGAGTAGCCTATTTGTTAACTCCTGTAATGTCCCAATAGAGAAAGGCTTGGGGCTGACACTGGGGAGACTCACCTACAGCACAGGTGAGTTTGCCTGTGCGCTCCTGCAGCAGCCGGACTATCTGGGCCTTCTGGGTCGGAGCGCAGCGACAACACACCACCGCAGGACACTGACACGCCAGCTCCATAAACTCATACTCATAGAACTTCAGACACACCTGCAGGAGAAGCAGAGTATGATAGATGAGGGTTGAACAACAACTGGGACCAACGACCAACTGTGGTTTATGTCTGGATCTTTATCAATGATATAAACTCCTTCCTCAACGTCTGTTACATTTATCTAGGCAGTTGTCAATTGAGACCCAAAACAATACAGCAGTGTGATTGGATAAGACTCAACACCGGCTGACGTTTCACAAGCGTCTCAGTTAAACTTTAACCAATGTTAGACTGACTCTTACCAATACCACAGCCACCACCAAAGGCCTCTTCAGTAACAGTGCTTTGGTTTGGTTTACACAGATAAGGTAAAGTGTTCAGAGTGAGGACGATGCTCAGCTTACCTCCAGTGAGTCCCCTGATATGACCAGAGCACAGTCGTGTTTCCTCCTGAAAGCATTGAGCTCCAGATGGGCCTCTCCTCGTGTTGTCACCTAGGACCACAGACAGTATATCGCTTACCATCACGTCACAGACACACAGATAGCTATCTAACCCACAGCAGCAGGAGTAGCTGCTCTCCTGACTGCAACTGTCACCCACACTCTAGATTAGCATCAGGGTGAACTGATCAACTGTTAAATGTTGAACATACAGTGGGGGAAAAAAGTATTTAGTCAGCCACCAATTGTGCAAGTTCTCCCACTTAAAAAGATGAGAGAGGCCTGTAATTTTCATCATAGGTACACGTCAACTATGACAGACAAATTGAGAAAAAAGAATCCAGAAAATCACATTGTAGGATTTTTAATGAATTTATTTGCAAATTATGGTGGAAAATAAGTATTTGGTCACCTACAAACAAGCAAGATCTCTGGCTCTCACAGACCTGTAACTTCTTCTTTAAGAGGCTCCTCTGTCCTCCACTCGTTACCTGTATTAATGGCACCTGTTTGAACTTGTTATCAGTATAAAAGACACCTGTCCACAACCTCAAACAGTCACACTCAAAACTCCACTATGGCCAAGACCAAAGAGCTGTCAAAGGACACCAGAAACAAAATTGTAGACCTGCACCAGGCTGGGAAGACTGAATCTGCAATAGGTAAGCAGCTTGGTTTGAAGAAATCAACTGTGGGAGCAATTATTAGGAAATGGAAGACATACAAGACCACTGATAATCTCCCTCGATCTGGGGCTCCACGCAAGATCTCACCCCGTGGGGTCAAAATGATCACAAGAACGGTGAGCAAAAATCCCAGAACCACACGGGGGGACCTAGTGAATGACCTGCAGAGAGCTGGGACCAAAGTAACAAAGCCTACCATCAGTAACACACTACGCCGCCAGGGACTCAAATCCTTTAGTGCCAGACGTGTCCCCCTGCTTAAGCCAGTACATGTCCAGGCCCGTCTGAAGTTTGCTAGAGTGCATTTGGATTATGCAGAAGAGGATTGGGAGAATGTCATATGGTCAGATGAAACCAAAATATAACATTTTGGTAAAAACTCAACTCGTCGTGTTTGGAGGACAAAGAATGCTGAGTTGCATCCAAAGAACACCATACCTACTGTGAAGCATGGGGGTGGAAACATCATGCTTTGGGGCTGTTTTTCTGCAAAGGGACCAGGACGACTGATCCGTGTAAAGGAAAGAATGAATGGGGCCATGTATCGTGAGATTTTGAGTGAAAACCTCCTTCCATCAGCAAGGGCATTGAAGATGAAACGTGGCTGGATCTTTCAGCATGACAATGATCCCAAACACACCGCCCGGGCAACGAAGGAGTGGCTTCGTAAGAAGCATTTCAAGGTCCTGGAGTGGCCTAGCCAGTCTCCAGATCTCAACCCCATAGAAAATCTTTGGAGGGAGTTGAAAGTCCGTGTTGCCCAGCGACAGCCCCAAAACATCACTGCTCTAGAGGAGATGTGCATGGAGGAATGGGCCAAAATACCAGCAACAGTGTGTGAAAACCTTGTGAAGACTTACAGAGAACATTTGACCTGTGTCATTGCCAACAAAGGGTATATAACAAAGTATTGAGAAACTTTTGTTATTGACCACATACTTATTTTCCACCATAATTTGCAAATAAATTCATTAAAAATCCTACAATGTGATTTTCTGGATTTTTTTTGGGTCTGTCATAGTTGACGTGTACCTATGATGAAAATTACAGGCCTCTCTCATCTTTTTAAGTGGGAGAACTTGCACAATTGGTGGCTGACTAAATACTTTTTTCCCCCACTGTAGATAGGTGTGTGCCTTTCCAAATCATGTCCAATCAATTGGATTTACCACAGTTGGACTCCAATCAAGTTGTAGAAACATCTCAAGGATGATCAATGGAAACAGGATGTAAGGTATGAAACCATAATGACGACCAGGACATGAACCCGCTCAACCATGGCTGATTTTGTGGGTTTATATAGACTACTATTTCTTATGAAATATGGAGGTTGATTGTGTGGACATTGCAATAGGGCAAATTTTCTAACCTGAGGTCCATATTAACAAGAACACATCCCATAGTTTCTGCAACTGTGTCAAACTTATATGTGTACTTGGAATTCCAAAAATGTGGAACTGGAAATGACAACAAGACATCAATCTGTCAACCAATGTTCTGCACTAGTATGGCTATATTCCTCTTCTATTGCCTGTTCATACGTCAAGTCTTCAACCCAGTGCCATTTGTGTCGAACCAGGAAGCCAATAGCAGATGCCTTGGCTATTGGACCACTCAACAGTCACAGCCCCTGCCTGCCCTGCTCTGCTGGGAGAAGCAAAGGGATTGTTGTCATGCTGTGCCAGTCATTGTTATCCTCTTCCAGTAACAACTGTTGTACGCAAGTCCTAACCTTCCTATGGCAGGCAAGCTTTTCTGCAACTAGACGAAAGCCAAAGGGGAAGTCAACAGACTATCAAAGCAATTGTGCAGTTTGAGAGCTAAGCCTGCAAAACAAATTAGAAAGTTAGGTTCTCTGTCTTTGTGTTCCCTCAGGAAGTGGCTCAGCTGGTCCTCACAGGCCTGTTTCCAGACCTGGGGTCAAATAGTATTTAAAATAGTTCAAATCCATGTACTATAAGTGTTTATTTTAGACTGCTTGTAGTGCCAGTCAAGCACAGCTTAAGTTTATGAAACGATATCAAATAGTATTTGAACCCAGGTCTGGAAGGCTCTGGTCTGGTTGACACTGGTTTGAATGCTTATTCTTGTGAGAAGTGATTTATTGTTGGGCTGACCAAATAGCCAGTGGATCCTAGCTGGGCTGGGCTGGGTTAAAATTGCTTGGGGACTACATAAGCACAGCTATGGGCCTTCACCACACAGAGGATGGATGTCCCCATGAGGTCAGCGCAGACGACAGGAAACTGTGGATGACCCGATGAACTTGGAATGACCCCGTATGCTAAAGCTATTTATTCTAATCCACAATAAACATTATATTCAAAGTGCAGTGGTTGAACAGAAAAATGTCCTCTACTGCTTCTCCACTCACCGATCTAAAGATGTGGATGTCCTGGTTGCGGGTCACCAGATGGGCGTTCTTAGCCGTGCACGTGGCTGTTTCCAGCTTGTCTCCAGTTAACATCCACACCTACACAGGTAATACAGTTTTAAAATTACATTTCTGTGTGATTAACACGCTTTAACATTCATACAATGACACAACACATAACAACAGTTTCAGAGGGCATAAACCCCAGAGATAAATAAAGTGTATTGAAAAAAAGTATGAAAATGTATGCACTCTGGATAAGAGCGTCTGCTAAATGACTCAAATGTAAATGTAAAATGTATTGAAGTGAATTGTTGCTATACGGCCGTCTCCCCCCTGCCCCGGTGACCCCTGACCTTGATGCCTGCATTGCGTAGGATCTCCAGGGTGGGCCGTACGTCAGCCTGCAGTTGGTCCTCCACCCCAGTCAGACACAGCAGCTCCATCTCCATCTCCAGGCTCTCGATCACCGTGGCAACCTTCAGAGACCGGTCGTGCACACTCAGCTTGGCCTGGACGTATCGGGCCTGTGGAGAAAGTAACAGGAGAAATGTGGTGAAAATATTTGGATTGTATGACTTTATCTGAATATAGCATATTGGAGTTTAGCTAGTTCGATTTATTAACTGTCAAACATACAAAATCATCAAATATAACATGTTTTGGATGAGAAGGATTTGGAAGGAGCAAGTAAATGGCCAGCAGTCTCCAGCTCAGAGGGCAATTTTCAGAGGAGATAAAGCAAAAACTATCCGAGTGACTCACTCAGGAACACAAGCTTTGTGTGTGAGTCACTTAGCTGGTGAGTCACCACCGCCCACCAGCCAGCTCACACAATTATACACTCCAGCAATGGGCCTGGTGGAGCTGCAGGGGAGACACTGCCCACCCATCCGCCCGCTCACCCTGCATTGAGAATGGGAGAGTGTGTGTGTGTGTGTGTGTGTGTGTGAGGGAGGGAGGGAGGGAGGGAGGGAGGGAGGGATATCCGAGTATCAAACAACACACTTTGACATCTTAAGAACAATGGTGAGTATCTGTGGAAACTATTTTGTTTTTGTATTTGTTGTTGTTGGCAGGTAGGCTACCTAGCAGATATAAAATACTTGAGAGGACATGACAACTCCAAGACAACACCTGAAAAGAGTGTATTTTGTGGAGGAAGATAAACAAATTGTCATCCAACACAAATATAAATGTATTTAATCTCATAAGGAGTGTGAGGAGTGGCACTAATAATAATAATAATAATAATAATAATAATACTATACTGGTAAACTAAAAACAACACATGGAGAGGGAGGTGCATCAACTAGTAAAAGTAAACAATTCATGTTGTTGTAAGAATATTACCACACCTGGTTTCACATGTCATACCCAGACGTTGATCAAAAGGAATTCCTCTTCTATTTACGACACTATGTGGATGTGCTCAAACCAAGATGGATACCCTGGGCTTCAGCCTCACTAATTAGTTTGCCAAATGGCTATGATACACTGAAATGTCAAGGTCGCTCACGGTGGGCTTGGTTACTCAGGACAGTCAATTCATTCTCTATCTAAACATCATCCTCCTTCTGTTGGCTTGGGTTACTGCACAGTCCCATACTCTATGGATCAACGTGATGATGACAGTTACATTGAAGCTCGTTCAAAGACAGAGGGGATGCTACTAACCTCAAAGTCTTGGTACTGTTCCTCTGTTAGAGACTTCTTAGAAACAACCAAGACCCTCAGGCCTTCCCTGGCCATATTTCCACACTGGAAGAAAGAGCAAAAGCATCACCAAAGCATTAATATCAGAATGTTCAAACATACACAAGGACTCCTACAGCAAAACCCTAAAGATGAACTCAACACGATATAGTAAATTCATGGTGGTCATTTATTAAAACTAAAAGCTAAAATGACGTGTTTTAATAGAAGAAACCAAAAATACTTCTTCTTCCAGCCAATCATTATACTGGACGATGCCTGCCATCACCACGTCTGCACCCTTCATGTAGAAGGTCATTTCTCCTGTGGACTCATCCTGTAAAACAGACCATTCACTGTCATTACCTTAATTCAATGCTTGACGAACAAAATAGAAGAAAAACATTCACATCAATCAATAAGGTGCACTCAGGGGTTTCCCCCCCTACTCTCAGCACCTGTGTAGAGATGCACATACAGGATGAGTTTATTATTGTCGGTTGGTTGCTTAGAAAGGGAAACTTATTTTGGTGTTAATGTACACAATGGGTCTCAAACATGTTTGAAAATATTCTCTTGAGGAAGCAAAGTTTAATCCCAGCTTTCCTGAATTAGATTTATACCAGGTCTATCCAAGCCAACAACAATAGCTAGTCATGCAGACAGCACAGAGACTTAGTCATCGAGGTCAGAGCAGGGTAAAGTATTTCTTAGATCAGCCTTCATCTTGATAGATAAATGGATCAATGCCCAGGTTCAAAAGCCATAAAATGTATCTTCCAAAAGAGCCGTTGGCCCCAAACAGTTGGCACCTACTGATATGAGCTATAAAATGGATCTTTCAAAAGAGCAGTTACATCCACAACAGTTGGCAAGCAAAATACAAATTATCTTCCACAATACATTAGATCAGCTCAGGAAGGCATACACCTCTGGCAACTATAAAGGGATGACTCAAATTTGAATTTTCAAACCAAATTCATATCCCAGTCAGCAGCACTCACTCGAACTATGATTCCCATCCGCTTGCTCTCGTAGGTGAAGGGGAATATCTGCAGGATGGTGAAGTTCAGGATCTGTCCACTGGGAGCCCTCAGCTGCATGGAGTTGTGGTCCCGTCCAACCAGGGTCAGACCCACACTCTCTGTCCACTGCACCAGCGACACCTAGCAACAGTTTGGTGAATGGGTGGTTATAAAAATAGATCAATTTGATGGGGTAAAAGGAGAATGGACCATAATTGGTCACATGCTCAATTAAGTTCTGGGTCCATATGGGTTAAGAGAAGAGATAGAAAACTAGTAGCGGAACCGGAACGAAGAGCTCCACCTTCTCTCTTTGCAAGTTACGGGCAAGTCTATGGGCCAAATGTCCCCTCTCCTTCCAAAATTCGAAAGATACTAACACCTGCGAAATCATGATTTGTCCAAATAACCAGTGACGAAAAACCCAAGCACTGGAACTAATGCTGCTGATCTCACACATACCGTTGTATCATGACAGATCTACGGTACCATTTATGTTTATGTAGTCTGTCCACAAGAGATTAACATGATGTACCTTTTCACAGGACAAATGAATAAACAGGAAATATAAATCTGAGTAGCACATCAAAGAGCACAGCTCTACCTCAGCTCAAATCAACAATAAAAGCATTTTCTGCACTCAGAGTATTGATTGACAAACTATGAAGACAATTTTAAAAGACCATGCCACATGTTCTTTCTGGTCTCTTTTGAAGGGCACATGAGGATAAAGCCAAACATAAGTAATTTTTTCCCAATAACTTCCAGACCACCAGCACAAGATCAAAAACACAATTCATCCCTCATGCCTACACTGACAGGTCTCTAATTTAAATCTCAGATGGACAGGAAGAGGCATCAATTGGACCCTAAACACTCCCAAAGTCCAGTCCCAAACCAAGCCTCTTCCAGCTAACAAACAATACTTATTTTATGTTCATATTTGGCCTGAGGCTATGCTTGGCTAATGGTAGACCTGAGCTGAACTCCATAATGGTCAATAAAGCTCTGACTACCTTGTGTGTTGGTCATACATGTTGGGGAGAATGAGGAGTTTGACTTAGTCCTGGTAACATTAGTAAGGCTACATTCACTATGGAGACATGCAGTGAATCGGCCTCCACCACAACAGCACCACCTAGCAATGGGAATGTCTAGGATTTAATTGACCTGGATCTGCTACTGGCAAATGTCTGGAGTGAAAACCACAGCTTGGCAGAAGCTAAAGTACTTATTGGTCCTGCTTGGAAGTGGAACACTCAGGAAATACTTCATACTCTTCAGTCTTTTTTTATAGTAACACACTTCTCTTAAGTAGATGTCACAATTAGACATATTAAATATGATATGCTAAATAAGCAGATGTAAAGGCATAAGTTGTGGAAAAATAACTCCACACAACAACCAGGACTATTCATTTTGATGTAATTAAAAAACTGGTTATATCTGCCAAACATGTACAGGTAACTGCCAAAATAAAGAAAACACTTGAGTAAATGAGGGATACAAAGTATAATCAAAGCACAGGTGTGGAATTAACATCCCATCATGCTTAAAGTCATGTATAAAAATACTGGGCAGGCCCAGTTGCCAAATATTTTGTCTACCATGGCTAGAAGAAGACATCTCAGTGACTTTGAAAGAGGAGTGATTGATGGGGCATGTTTGGCAGGAGCTTCAGTAACGAAGACTGCTCATCTTGCTGATGTTTCACGATATGCCATAGCCGTCTCAGTCTCCAGATCTCAACCCAATTGAACAGTGATTCTGGAGCGGCGACTGAGACAGGGTTTTCCACCACCATCAACAAAACACAAAATGATGGAATTTCTCGTGGAAGAATGGTGTTGCATACCTCCAATAGAGTTCCAGACACTTGTAGAATCGATGCCAAAGTGCATTGAAGCTGTTCTGGCGGCTCGTGGTGGCCAAAACCCTATTAAGACACTCAGTTGGTATTTCCTTTATTTTGGCAGTTACCTGTATCACATCCAACAAAACAAGTTAGATAAATGGCTTAAGATTGGACTCCTACTAAAAACCATGCATGCAACTGCCACTGACATTGTGACCACTACCACCGGCAGCCAACAGTCAACACCATATCTATATATAGACTTCCTGAGAAGCCATAGCAAACCAAACTGAATTTGAGCAAAGATCATATCAAGCTGATACAATATACCTATTGTAACAACAGCAAAAACATTAAATCAAGAAAGGAAATAGCTACACATTGACTGATATTGTAACCTGTGAGAAATCTTGGAACAGGACATGAGTTTCAAGAACATATACATAAAAAAATGCTTGTATTGCATGAAGTTGAGCATACAATAGGCCACAGCTCACCACAAAGCAACAGCTGTGGGCCATATCAAAGTATCTAATACTAAGGTAGGCAATTCAAAGGGGGATAGGTTAAGTGAAATTCAATAAACTGAGGAGCACATTAAGGAAATCCGTATTTACACTGCAGGAAATGGATCAAGCTGAATTCCTCCTCAGCCTTCTTCCTGGAGTTCAAAGGATTCATAGTGATCAATGACACAGCTAGGCACACCTGTAATTTGTCTCCTCAAGGTTTCCTTCAAAGGCAGCAGGCAGCAAAGGGTTCAAACTACAAAATCACTTGAAGTGACTCTCACCATCTTTTAACTTTTAACATTTCTAACAGGCAATTTTTTTATATATGTTGGTCTATCTTTAACAAAGGACAATATTATAACCTCACAGAGCAAATGTAAACTGTTAATTCATTATTTGTATAAAATACTAACAACCCCCGGTTGCTGTGTTTTTGGACCGCTATGTCTAGTAGTTAGGGTGAGCCGTTGTGTACCTCGTCTGGGCTGGCGGCCTGGTAAACCCTGCAGGTGTCCTCATAATGCTGCTCTGCCTCGGCCTGGTCCGTCACGCCGTTGGCCTCGTACGCGGGTGTCACACAGTGCACCAGGGCGATGGCCTTCACCGCCTCATGTACACGGCTGCTGATGGTCTTACGAACCTTAGTGGCCGCCGGAGCTCTGGATGCTGGGAGGTCATGAGAGGACTGTGGGGAGGAAGGTGTAGAAAAGAAAATATAGCCGACTGAGTTGGATTATAAGAATCTGTCTACCTGCAAGGTTTTCAATCATTGGTAGAGCGTTTTTTTTGTAACCAAACTTTTTTTCTCAGCTAATCATTAATTGACAAACAGTCATCAGATAAATAAATGATTTGTGGGGGAAATATATATACAGTACATGTACCTGTGAGCTGCCTTATACAGTAACTATGGCAACAAAGTATATGGAATATACTGTATGTGTTTTGTAGCGCTAAAACAGAACACTTCTCTGAACTTACTCAGTTCCAAAATGACTACCACAAAGCCATTTGACTAATTCCTACCCTATTCATTCATACCATACACAGAAAGACCCACGCCAAGTAAACACAACCAGGTGTGTGACGAAAGAAGAAATATGAACAATTAGCTTTAGCATCTTGCTGCTGCTATTTTTAGGCTGGGGGTTGTGTTTCCACAGGGGTTAATGGTGGAGTCATTAAACTAGGGCAGGTCAGTGCTAGTGGGCTCTGGGGCTAGTGGCTAATCCGGTTTCCTTCTCCACTAACCTCTGGTGTCAAAGGGACAAAGAGTGTCATTAGGGGTCGGGAAGCATTCAGCCAAACAGTAATCACATAGCTGATATGCTGGCAAAAAAATATGCCCTAAAGATAAGGGTTGTTATTTGTTTTCGCACAGAATTAGTTTTGAGTTTTCAAGCATTGACTGGTCTCACCGATTAGTACTACATTCGTTGCCCACAGCCCATATGGACTGATGCAGAGCCACAGGTCTACATAGCGAGTTTGGCCGTTTCTGTCAATGACGCTCTATGTGCGCCACAACTATCGCTATATGGCTCGGTGGACACGGTTATTGTTTACCTGTGTGTAGGCACTGAACACGTGGCTCTGCACCTCGTCCATGGAGTCCATTCCATAGGCCACCGTTCCAAGATGGAGGCGACGGAACACCATCTCATTCTGGGTGAGAGTCCCTGCATCAAATACACAACCACAATTTATACTATTTGTAAAATTTCTACTGATCGTGGGGTTATACAGTGGGGAGAACAAGTATTTGATACACTGCCGATTTTGCAGGTTTCCCTACTTACAAAGCATGTAGAGGTCTGTAATTTTTATCATAGGTACACTTCAACTGTGAGAGACGGAATCTAAAACAAAAATCCAGAAAATCACATTGTATGATTTTTAAGTAATTAATTTGCATTTTATTGCATGACATAAGTATTTGATCACCTACCAACCAGTAAGAATTCAGGCTCTCACAGACCTGTTAGTTTTTCTTTAAGAAGCCCTCCTGTTCTCCACTCTTTACCTGTATTAACTGCACCTGTTTGAACTCGTTACCTGTATAAAAGACACCTGTCCACACACTCAATCAAACAGACTCCAACCTCTCCACAATGGCCAAGACCAGAGAGCTGTGTAAGGACATCAGGGATAAAATTGTAGACCTGCACAAGGCTGGGATGGGCTACAGGACAATAGGCAAGCAGCTTGGTGAGAAGGCAACAACTGTTGGCACAATTATTAGAAAATGGAAGAAGTTCAAGATGACGGTCAATCACCCTCGGTCTGGGGCTCCATGCAAGATCTCACCTCGTGGGGCATCAATGATCATGAGGAAGGTGAGGGATCAGCCCAGAACTACACGGCAGGACCTGGTCAATGACCTGAAGAGAGCTGGGACCACAGTCTCAAAGAAAACCATTAGTAACACACTACGCCGTCATGGATTTAAATCCTGCAGCGCACGCAAGGTCCCCCTGCTCAAGCCAGCGCATGTCCAGGCCCATCTGAAGTTTGCCAATGACCATCTGGATGATCCATAGGAGGAATGGGAGAAGATGATGTGGTCTGATGAGACAAAAATAGAGCTTTTTGGTCTAAACTCCACTCGCCGTGTTTGGAGGAAGAAGAAGGATGAGTACAACCCCAAGAACACCATCCCAACCGTGAAGCATGGAGGTGGAAACATCATTCTTTGGGGATGCTTTTCTGCAAAGGGGACAGGACAACTGCACCGTATTGAGGGGAGGATGGATGGGGCCATGTATCGTGAGATCTTGGCCAACAACCTCCTTCCCTCAGTAAGAGCATTGAAGATGGGAAGGGGCTGGGTCTTCCAGCATGACAACGACCCGAAACACACAGCCAGGGCAACTAAGGAGTGGCTCCGTAAGAAGCATCTCAAGGTCCTGGAGTGGCCTAGCCAGTCTCCAGACCTGAACCCAATAGAAAATCTTTGGAGGGAGCTTAAAGTCCGTATTGCCCAGCGACAGCCCCGAAACCTGAAGGATCTGGAGAAGGTCTGTATGGAGGAGTGGGCCAAAATCCCTGCTGCAGTGTGTGCAAACCTGGTCAAGACCTACAGGAAACGTATGATCTCTGTAATTGCAAACAAAGGTTTCTGTACCAAATATTAAGTTCTGCTTTTCTGATGTATCAAATACTTATATCATGCAATAAAATGCAAATTAATTACTTAAAAATCATACAATGTGATTTTCTGGATTTTTGTTTTATATTCCGTCTCTCACAGTTGAAGTGTACCTATGATAAAAATTACAGACCTCTACATGCTTTGTAAGTAGGAAAACCTGCAACATCGGCAGTGTATCAAATACTTGTTCTCCCCACTGTATGCACTGGTGTCAGAAGTGCTGGAAGCGAGATGGTAGTGTTGGTGTTCAAATTATTATCATAATTAGTACAGTCACACTATGATCTACAAGTCAAGTAGCTGTCCATGCTTTCAGTGTCCTGACTGTCCTCACACTTTAAAATCCCCTCTCTCTGTAGGTAGTATTTCAGGATGACCTGAGAGGCCCCTACAGCACATATATTAGATTGACCTTTGACCCCTAGGCCCCATCGCCCTGATCACGGTCTGGGAAAATACAGTATCATTTTATTGGCCGTCAGGGTCGTAAATTTAAGAGGGGTACAGGCCAGTTCCTGAGGATGTGTGTGTGTGTGTAAGGGGGGGTGTAGAGACAGGAGCCTTAGTTCAGACATGCGTATGATTAAAAACCCAGTAAGTAACACACAGCCCCAAAGCCCCAGGGACAGGCTTGTCCTAGCACTGTCACAATGAACATAACCTTAGCAAATCTTCAACACTATCATCTCTCATACGACAGACTGACATGTTGGGTCAATGTCCTCTTCTGACCACTAAAGCAAGATGCAGGCATTTTACCTTTAAAATTTAATTTTAAGCAGTTTTATGCAAACCTTATACTGCACTGTTTTATTACCATAGTTACATCTCATGTGATATTGACTAAGCTGAAAGTTTATGGAGGCCCGCTCACCTCTTAAGCTCAATACAGAGTCCACTGCCACATAGCCGTGATACTCCGGCGGCCCCTAATTACATATTTATGTCTATAAACCACAAAATTAGCAGACCTGTTTTGTCAGTGAGCAGGTAGGAGATGCGTCCCAGTTGTTCAGGTATAGTGCTGGCCCTGACCACCGTACCAGGGATCTTAGAGTCTCTTCTGATCATCCAGCTGAACACCATTTTACCCATGTCCAGGTTCACACGCAAGCTGGACACAAAGTTCACATTTTATTCATTTAATAAAATACTATTTATATAGTTTGGATATCAATGGGTTTAGGTTGTCCATCAAACATGTACATAAGGATATAACAATTAAGCAAGGATAGATTTTATGTAAATGTAGGCCTCAACAGAAAATACCAACTTTTGGTCTTAAACCTGCTGTTAAACTTTGTTACATACTACTTTATTTATTGCTTTAAAATGATCTAATTTAAATTAAATAGAAAGTGTGTTAAACTCCTACCTGATGGGGACTATGTTGGAGAAAAGAAGTAGGAAGCGGAAGATCTGCAGATACCAACGGCCGGCAAAGTGTTGGAGGGCCACCATGACCAGAGACACCACCACCAGAGCCCCAAACAGGATCTTGGTCAAACAGTTCACTTCCAGGTCAAATAGGCCAACCTACAAGAGATGATGAATGAGAATGACATCAGGCAATACACTCTAAACACAATATTATGGAACAACTGTTGACAGAAATGATATGATTATTTGAGTATTGGTAGCGGTTTATTTTACGGTACATAAATGACCATTTTTTAAGACCTTGTAAAAAGGTAACAACACAGTAATAACCTATGAATTACCTGTTTGTTTCAGTGGAAACAGTACCGTAAAATAAAGTGCTACCAGAATATTTTCATTACTTTATCTGCTAAAGGAAAGCGTCATGTGCAGGAAGTTTATCTGTGAGAAACATTAATATACCTTGTGCCTTGGGTTTGAGGTGTTCATCACACTCCTGAGCTCCTTGCCTGTGTAGATCACTAGTCCTACCACAGTGCCTACAGAGAAATAACATTATAGTAATTGACTGAAACGTTTAAACTGACAAGTCTCGAATCATAAAGCATAACATATAATAAAGCATGTAGCAGACTTCCCTTGATGTGAATGCATGTTTTGAAATGTATAATGATAGTATTGCATGAGATAGATTGCCAAATTGCCAAATGACTACCATATGCTAAATACAGTAGGTTAGACTCTCATTTCCCTTTAGGGAAATGTTGTCTCTTATGGTTAACTGCCCCTGAATTAGTTTTAAATGACCAAATGTCTGATTGTGCCAGTGTGTGTGTGTGTGTGTGTGTGTGTGTGTGTGTGTATATAGGAGGACAAATCATCAGCACATCAAGTGTGGAGGAAGTAATGCCTCATCACAGCTCTAGGGATGGATGGAGGGAGAGAGGGATGGAATTGCTGGTACTGGTTCCTTCCATGTTATTAGCTGCTTCCGTGGAGAGAGAGAGAGCACACCACCGGGCGAGTTGGTATTTACCAGAGGCGATGACAGTGCTGGCCCACAGGGTATTCTCAATACTGAGACTCTCATTGACTGGAGGGTCTCCATCCTCCTAAAGCACAGCACAGAGGACACAAAACACAGACAAGAGTACGGAACATTACTCTATGAAAACAGAAAGTCTTTCATCAACATTCACTATATATGGTGGCAATTATCTTTAGTCTTAATCAAGAAAAGTAAAATAGAATTGTCCAGGTAAACACTTACCCTGGTGAAAGTGCCAATAAAGTTGTGGATGTCAATGTTTGGTTCCTCCGCATACACATAGGATCTGATCTGGAGAAGGTCCTGGAGGAGCAATCACAACATGGTCACTTACCGATAAGCGATAACAATTCCAAGAACATCCTAAAAAAACATGAGATGTGGCATTACTTTATTAAATATTTCTGCAGTCAGTGCAGTGCCAACATTGTGTTCTACTACAGATCAGCCATCTAGTCTGGTGACTCACAGCAGCAGTGGGCAGTCTCTGAGTACAGGCCACTGGGAGGCGTAGTTTCCAGTCCGTCTCTCCGTCCAGCTGGTCAGTACGCAGGAAGCAGGAGCCTAGAACAAGAAAGGAGAAGTGAGGAGAATAACTGATCCAGAATGGAGTCACAGTCACCTCTAGGGGGCACCGTTGTGTAGGCTTTAGAGACTGCAGAAGCATTCAGTTATATAGCCTCCATGGTACAAATAACAACATTCTGTATATCTAAAAAACTAAATGTGTTACCCTATGTAAATAATGATAATTTAAACGTGTACATTTTGCCACTTGCGTCAACTTCTAGCATTATTTTATTTGGTGTATCCTTCATCCCCTCTATCTTCAGCATAAAAATATCTTACCAAATGACTTATTGCAAAATAGTGCTCAAATATGAATGATGCCCAACTGCACATTACTCTGGGGATTAACAAGAAAGTGAAGAGGTATCCATGCCAACCCTGCCCTCATCCCCCCACAGCCTCCCATAACCCCAGTTCCCCCTGGTCTGCGTCATCCTGCCTGCCTGTCTATAGCTGAGAACACTGGGCCTAGCTAGGCTCTTCATAATTGACCTAATGGCCTCCATGTGTTGGAGAGATAACCAACTAACCACTCTTTCCAGTAAAATAAACGTGTTGTTTTTCCTCCCCCCACAGGAAAGCACAACCACAACCAAGCATGTGTCATCTAGTTTGTGTTACTCCAAATCAAGATTATAAAAGTGTAAGGTTATCGTACTCCAAATGTTTTATTGCACATTTCTGATGGATCCTAACAGCTGCTAGTTATCGAGTGGGTGGTGGAGTACTGTCACCACTCTTCAGAATCTCATCCAATTCCACATTTGTTTATTCAGATTAGGCTCCGTCTTTGTACCTTGGTTCCCCCGTTTTCTCTTTGCATTTGATATGTTCTTTCTATTCTACACTTTGCCTGTCTTCGTGATTTTCCTTAGGAACTAACTTGCAATTTAAAAGACAAAAATGGTCAGTGCAGATCTTAGGGAAAATGCATAGCCCATGCTTCTTCTGTCTTCTACCACAACCTGTCCCCCCCCCCAACCATCACTTTGAACGATAGCCTACTGGACCCAATTACAATTTAGACATTGTTACACTTCCTGTCCTGGCTCTAGGCTAATCCCTTCACCTCACCACCCTTTTTAAACATGCCATTACCCTAACTATCCTGTTTTGGAGATTTGAATGAATGACCAGCAGATGTTTACCATTTCTTTCAGAGGTCCTTAAGAAGATCATGTCAGCAGGAACTCGCTGGTTCTACAAAGAAAAGACAGAAATAAAGAAAAACACGACTTGTATCCTGTTCTTCTACCCCCCCCCGCCCCCCCCTCTATAACTGTAGACGTTCAGACTTTTACTTTAATGTGCTACATTACCTGCATTCAGCTAGTCACAATAATAATCCCTGCAGCAAATCATCCAGCCTTACCCTGAATAGGAGCCTGACCAGGCTTTACACTCTGTTTGACCTAGACTCCACTGTGACTGAGTCCTGGTCAGAGTAATTGGAAGATGAATTCTCAACACTATTTAAGTTGACAGATTTCAAAACATCGAGTTGGACATGGATTATTTTAAGTGGTCGATGGGTTTAATAAAGATTTACTGTGGCACTTCAGATCCATGCGGTGGTTCACATTTTGAATGTTATATATTTTGTAGGTTTTAACAAATGTAATATCAGAAGATCGTAACAATTCAGAATTTGATTTACTTTCAATGTCTCCTCAGTCATGGATAAAAAAGATCAAATGTATAAAGAGAACAACACGTGTGACTTATCCTTCAGCTGTGTTTAACAGAACCTTTTATATAGAAGTGGCCAGTTGGTAACTGAGGACAGGACTACATTCTCATATTTCATGTACAAAGACTCCCAGAATCTACTCTTTCTACAATAGCCAGCAAAAAAGACTGTTGTTGAGTTGGAATGTCTATTAGAATTACTTAAGATACTTTTAACAACATAGTGACGGCAGGTAGCCTAGCGGTTAGAGCGTTGGGCCAATAACCAAAAGGTTGCTAACTCAAATCCCCAAGCTACAAGGTGAAAAATCTTTTGACGTGCCCTTGAGCAAGGCACTTAAACCTAATTGCTCCAGGGTCCCCGTTGATAATGGCTGACCCTGGCCATGACCCCACTCACCGAGGGTGTCTCAGGGGGAGTTGGAATATGCAAAAAATATTTCCATTTCACACATGCGTATAATACACACTTGTACTTGTCTGAAATAGGACAAATATAAGAACCCACCAAATTATAATGTATTATAATGTTACCAGTGTTGTGCCATTCAAAATTAGCCTCACAAATGGCATCAATTGATTGCCTTCTTTAACTTTCCCACATGGATATGCCAACTTAATGGCGTTTTAAGTTAACTATCTGGTAAGAGTGCATTGGTATTTTCTGGGTGGTCTATGTCCTACTAATCTCGGTTAACCTCATTACTTTAATCTTGCGTAATTGGTCAAATGCTCAATTAAGTTCTGGGTCCATACGTGTTAAGAGAAGAGATAGAAAACTAGGAGCGGAACCGGAAAGAAGAGCTCCACCTCTCTTTGCAAGTTACGAGCAAGTCTATGGGCCAAATGTCCCCTCTCCTTCCAAAGTTCGAAAGATACTAACACCTGCGAAATCGTGATTTGTCCAAATAACCAGTGACGAAAAAACAAGCACTGGAACTAATGCTGCTGATCTCACACATACCGTTGTATCATGACAGATCTACGGTACCATTTATGTTTATGTAGACTGTCCATGAGAGATTAATATCCTACAAGTTTTGCCTTCAATTTTTTGTCAATGGCATCAATAATCCAAATGTCAAATTTTGGGTTTTCTGATCCAATTAAGTTCATTTAAAGTTTGTGTCAGTTACGTCTGCATTGAGCTTGACAGACTCAAGCTCAGCAACATTGATCACAAGATTATAAAATCTTTAACTCAAGTCACCAGTCTAGCAGATTAACAGACCACTCATTATTATTTGTCATATTTGGCAACTTCACTATCCTGGTAAGTAGTAGGCCTAATTCATTGATGCAGTCAAGGCGAAATCTCAAACCTTGTCCACGATTATAAGGTCTCCAACTTGAATGCCACTGCTTTTCACCTTCACAGTGCCTGAAATAAAAACACATGTCAAATGAATATTCAATAAGCATTTTCAGATTGCAGAATATTCAGCTGAGGTGACTAAATTCATTGTGATAATCATAATGGTATTGTGGTTAGACCAAATATTAAGGATGAATGTTGTCTTATGGACATTCCATTCCTCCTGGGAGGAGAAGAATAGAGTATAACGTCCCAAACAAGTCAAAATCTAAAACATCCATGTCAACGTTCACATGGCTCACACAGGTTTTTTATGGTAGTGAGACATTCTGGTACCATTAACATCATTCAAAGACACAGTTAAAACCCTAGTCTTCATACTCCCTGCTTCTATTCTCATGGCCCATACATACAGAAACACTATTCAGCTCACTGTTTATGCCCAACTGTCTCGTCCAGGTTACCTTGCAAATGTAGACAACTGTTGTTATAGATTTCCTTCCTAAATGTGGGGGGAAAGTAATTTTCCATGTAGGCCTTCAGATCTGAAAGAATGTTGGGAGGGTGGGGGGAGTTGAGCCTTTTCTCCCATTCCATTTGGAATGAACAGGCAAAATTGTTTGGAGCGGGTCACTCACCCTTGACCTTTTCTGTGACCTCAGGCTTTTGCATATGTAATACATTAATATTGCTATGCGTTTAGGTTTATTGGGCTTGAATATGTTGATACTTCAAACCCATTCTGTTTTATTTAGATAATAAAACTGAGTTTAGTCTACTTTATACACAAATCTGATAATACAAATTATACTTTCCCAATAAGCTTTAGAAATAATCAGTCAGAAGTCAAAATACTAGGGAGAAAAAAACTACTTTAAAATGATGAATCATACATTCCTACAGGATGACATAAAAACCCTTGGTGGATGTCTGACATCAAAACATAAATTAACAACATGTTTTGCTCTTGATAAAGTAGCTACTTTCTCAAAGCAGAACAACAATATACAGGCATTTAATGCTATTATCTCTCTCTCACCCCATGCAGCAAGACAAGCCACTGGGGCCACTCTCATGGAAGCAACCATTTATTGTGTTTATGGATAAAACAAGCTGCCAGATCAAAGGGGAAAAGTGATGGAAACCACAAGAGGTCTCCAGGTTTTTATTGCTGGTAGCACTTTATTCCAAGCCCTCTTATGTGTACACTTTTACATCTCTGCTTTGAATTAGCCATCACTCCCCTCCCACCCAGGACCCACTCCCCTCCCACCCAGGACCCACTCCCCTCCCACCCAGGACCCACTCCCCTGTCAGCTTAAACAGGACAGGACCAACCTCATACAGTTAACTGGACTGGAGACCAGGGTTCGAGTTAATTCCACAAATTAAATTCCCTCTCCCTGGAAATTCCATTTCATTCAAATTCCAGGTCAGTCTTTGCATTCAGAGATAACTAAATTCCTCTCAATTTCAATGTTAGGTAAATTCCAATAATTAAATTGCCAATTCAATATTATCACCAACAATTCCACAAATTCCAATCAGGCTTTCAGGCTGATCATGTCACTGTTCAGACTGCCTCACTCTACTGGAAATACAGAAATACAAGTTAAAATAAATCTTGCAGTCAACTTTTGATACTAAGTGCTTTAATTCCATTCACTGGGAAATCCAATTCAAGTCAATTGCAAAGATTAAATGTGTTTACAATTCCAATTCAATTCCAATTCAAACAGTCCAAACAGTCTAAATCCAATTCAATTCCATAACTTCAAGATTGTTGAAATTTGAATTGAATTCACTATAAATTCTCTCTTTCATGAGTGAATTCAAGAATTTAACTGGATTTTCAAATAAATTTTGAATTGACCCCAATTCAAACCACTATTCAGGTTTTTGTATTACATTGAATAGACGCATCAGAAAACTGCTGTAGGTCATTAATTGGTTGGACTGGTTACTTTGGATATGTTTATTAACATATTTATGTTGTTGTTTATTCTTCTTATTGTGTACCAACTGCAAACAAACCCTTACCTCTTATTGAGAGCTTGCTATATATCTGTGAATTCACTTCTTTGTCTCGACAATAACATCTGATCTCTTCAACTGCTTCTCTCATGATGGTAATGATCAAAACAATTCCCTGAAAATACAAAAATATAAGACAAACCTTCTAAATGTGTATAACTACAAATTATAACAAGTAAGTATCTTGTTTTTAGCAATTGATTGGTGGATCATGTGAATACTTGATGCTACATTACTTTGACAAAATGCTCCACTGCTTACCAAAGGAACCCAGTAGGTGTACAGAGCACCTAGCCTGAGCTCATTGACAAACTGAGAACAGGCCAGGAGAAGAAAGTACAAGTTGAAGAAGTACTTGAACTGATTAAACAGCACCTGAGAAAACAAAACAGAACAATATGATTTCACATAAATAAGCCAACCACGATATGTATGTACATTAGGGGCATTGTAATACAGTGGGGGAAAAAAGTATTTAGTCAGCCACCAATTGTGCAAGTTCTCCCACTTAAAAAGATGAGAGAGGCCTGTAATTTTCATCATAGGTACACGTCAACTATGACAGACGAAATGAGATTTTTTTTCTCCAGAAAATCACATTGTAGGATTTTTAATGAATTTATTTGCAAATTATGGTGGAAAATAAGTACTTGGTCAATAACAAAAGTTTCTCAATACTTTGTTATATACCCTTTGTTGGCAATGACACAGGTCAAACGTTCTCTGTAAGTCTTCACAAGGTTTTCACACACTGTTGCTGGTATTTTGGCCCATTCCTCTAGATCTCCTCTAGAGCAGTGATGTTTTGGGGCTGTCGCTGGGCAACACAGACTTTCAACTCCCTCCAAAGATTTTCTATGGGGTTGAGATCTGGAGACTGGCTAGGCCACTCCAGGACCTTGAAATGTTTCTTACGAAGCCACTCCTTCGTTGCCCGGGCGGTGTGTTTGGGATCATTGTCATGCTGAAAAGACCCAGCCACGTTTCATCTTCAATGCCCTTGCTGATGGAAGGAGGTTTTCACTCAAAATCTCACGATACATGGCCCCATTCATTCTTTCCTTTACACGGATCAGTCGTCCTGGTCCCTTTGCAGAAAAACAGCCCCAAAGCATGATGTTTCCACCCCCATGCTTCACAGTAGGTATGGTGTTCTTTGGATGCAACTCAGCATTCTTTGTCCTCCAAACACGACGAGTTGAGTTTCTACCAAAAAGTTATATTTTGGTTTCATCTGACCATCTGACATTCTCCCAATCCTCTTCTGGATCATCCAAATGCACTCTAGCAAACTTCAGACAGGCCTGGACATGTACTGGCTTAAGCAGGGGGACACGTCTGGCACTGCAGGATTTGAGTCCCTGGCGGCGTAGTGTGTTACTGATGGTAGGCTTTGTTACTTTGGTCCCAGCTCTCTGCAGGTCATTCACTAGGTCCCCCCGTGTGGGTCTGGGATTTTTGCTCACTGTTCTTGTGATCATTTTGACCCCACGGGGTGAGATCTTGCGAGGAGCCCCAGATCGAGGGAGATTATCAGTGGTCTTGTATGTCTTCCATTTCCTAATAATTTCTCCCACAGTTGATTTCTTCAAACCAAGCTGCTTGCCTATTGTAGATTCAGTCTTCCCAGCCTGGTGCAGGTCTACAATTTTGTTTCTGGTGTCCTTTGACAGCTCTTTGGTCTTGGCCATAGTGGAGTTTGGAGTGTGACTGTTTGAGGTTGTGGACAGGTGTCTTTTATAATGATAACAAGTTCAAACAGGTGCCATTAATACAGGTAACGAGTGGAGGACAGAGGAGCCTCTTAAAGAAGAAGTTACAGGTCTGTGAGAGCCAGAAATCTTGCTTGTTTGTAGGTGACCAAATACTTATTTTCCACCATAATTTGCAAATAAATTCATTAAAAATCCTACAATGCGATTTTCTGGATTTTTTTTTCTCATTTTGTCTGTCATAGTTGACGTGTACCTATGATGAAAATTACAGGTCTCTCTCATCTTTTTAAGTGGGAGAACTTGCACAATTGGTGGCTGACTAAATACTTTTTTCCCCACTGTATATGCATGTGATAAGATATTGATCACTCAGGGTTCAGTTGAGACAAAAATATGCTTATAGTTTCAGACATATCCACACACGTTCTAATATATATATGATATATCTCAAAAAAGACAGACATCAACTTTTCCAGTGCCACCCACAGTCAAGTATAGATTTAACAGTCACACTACACTGTAGCTGAATTTCATTACCACCAATGTGCAAGATTAGTACAAAGGGAAAGCTTGTGTTCTCTCATTGCTACTGTGAGTCATTTCCTCAACTACTGACAGGTGACAGGGAACACTCGCACAACAACAATAACGTGTTGATTTGAGAATGTGTTGATTTGCAATGCAAAAAAGGACTGGTCTTCTTGTTTTTCCTACTTTTAATGCATGACTTAATATCCAAAAAAGGCACAATGTTTTAAGATTAGCTAATGTCTGAAAACCAAATTCATATGAAAATTAGGCTCAGAAAATCAGAAAGTAAAAAAAGTGCTCCTTAGTATTCTTGCCGTGGTTTAGCTTTACTTAGAGACTCAACAACTACAGTAGAGGCACACTAGGCTATACAGTACAGGCTAACATGAGTGCTCATTTGATTAGAATCAGAGTCCACCAACCCACTATTCAAATATATGGGGTCAGCTCTACTGCTCACTCTCCACTTTGCCACTAAACCACTAACTCCACTAAACTAATAACTCCACTTTGCCACTAAACCAATAACTCCACTTTCCCACTAAACTCATTCCGGCTTGTTGTGTTGTGAATGAGGAGCAGATGACGGTTGCTTGGGTGACCCGGAGTACCTGACACTCACCCCTGGGAGGAAGGTGAAGAAGTTGTACTTCTGGTTGTTAATGACGTTCCGGGGGTACCTCTGCTCCCTCTTCTCTGGGTGGCCCAGCCACACCGTCCGCGGCCGGAAGTCCCCCATGCCGCAACACCTCGACCACAGGCAGCACCTGAGGAACACCAGTGTAGTTCATCATTAGGGCTGGTTTCCTGGACCCAGGTTAAGCTTACTCCTGGACCTGTACATCACAAAGACTCTCAGGGTAGTGCAGATATAGGATCAGTTTTGCCTTTTTAATCATAATGAGTATATGGACAGGGGGGGATCTGATCCTCGATCAACACTCCTACTCTGAGATGCTTTTGAACACTGGCCCTAGACTAAAAAGCATGCTCAATGAAGAAATGCCAATACAGTGCTTTTTAGTCCAGAACTAGACCTAATCTGTGTCCGGGAAACTGGCCCTTTTAGAGTTTTCCTCTCACTGAAATGGCACCACAATAATATGCAAATACTATGTTTCCTATGGTGGTGTGGATGGCTTCAGTCAAACAGTAGGGCCATAGAGGTGGGTCCTGACTCACCATAGAGGTGGGCCCTGACTCCCGAGTGGCGCAGCGGTCTAAGGCACTGCATCTCAGTGCTTGAGGCATCACTACAGACCCCCTGGTTCGATTCCAGGCTGTATCACAACCGGCCGTGATTGGGAGTCCCATAGGGCGGCACACAATTGGCCCAGCGTCGTCCGGGTTTGGCCGGTATATGCCGTCATTGTAAATAAGAATTTGTTCTTAACTGACTTGCCTAGTTAAATAAAGGTAAAAAAAAAAAAAAAAGAGGTGGGTCCTGACTCACCATAGAGGTGGGTCCTGACTCACCATAGAGGTGGGCCCTGACTCACCATAGAGGTGGGCCCTGACTAGCCGGTGCCCCCGCACATTGACTATGCAACGGTACCCCCCTGTATATATAGCCTCCCTACTGTCACTTTATTCTATTGTATATATAGCCTCCCTACTGTCACTTTATTTTTTACTTCTGCTCTTTTTTTTCTCAACACTTTTTTGTTGTTGTTTTATTCTTACTTTTTTGTTTAAAATAAATGCACTGTTGGTTAAGGGCTGTAAGTAAGCATTTCACTGTAATGTCTGCACCTGTTGTATTCGGCGCATGTGACCAATAAAATTTGATTTGATTTGATTTGATTTGACTCACCAGAGGTGGGCCCTGACTCACCATAGAGGTGGGCCCTGACTCACCATAGAGGTGGGCCCTGACTCACCATAGAGGTGGGCCCTGACTCACCATAGAGGTGGGCCCTGACTCACCATAGAGGTGGGTCCTGACTCACCATAGAGGTGGGCCCTGACTCACCATAGAGGTGGGCCCTGACTCACCATAGAGGTGGGCCCTGACTCACCATAGAGGTGGGCCCTGACTCACCATAGAGGTGGGCACTCACCATAGAGGTGGGCCCTGACTCACCATAGAGGTGGGCCCTGACTCACCATAGAGGTGGGCCCTGACTCACCATAGAGGTGGGCCCTGACTCACCATAGAGGTGGGTCCTGACTCACCATAGAGGTGGGTCCTGACTCACCATAGAGGTGTGTCCTGACGCAGTAGTCTCCTGAGTGGCGCAGTGGTCTAAGGCACTGCATCGCAGTGCTAGCTGTGCCACTAGAGATCCTGGTTCGAATCCAGGCTCTGTCGCAGCCGGCCGCGACCGGGAGACTCATGGGCAGCGCACAATTGGCCTAGCGTTGTCCAGGGTAGGGGAGGGAATGGCCGGCAGGGATGTAGCTCAGTTGATAGAGCATGGCGTTTGCAACGCCAGGGTTGTGGGTTCAATTCCCACGGGGGACCAGTATGAAAAAAAATATATATATATGTATTCACTAACTGTAAGTCGCTCTGGATAAGAGCGTCTGCTAAATGACTAAAATGTAAATGTAAATGTAAATATTGGCATCATGTGTTAGGCAGCAAGGCCCTAGTTTCATACACCATTCTCAAACGAAGTATTCCACTTCATCAAAGCAAGCAGCCAGCTGGTAACCTAACCTTATGGGTTGCCATGTGCCTATTACAGATCAAATATTGTACACATTCTAGATACTAATTACCTGAATAATGAATCACTGACTGTAGATAAAGTGAGTAATTTAACCCCTTCTATCATAATTCCGAAAATAGAAATCTGTGTTCAAACTAGGACTCTGCTTACTACAAATTGGATGAATGCAGAACCTGATTTTCAAGACATCCAGTATAATGAAGTTACCCTTTCAGATGTGCGAGACAACAACTTCACAAAAGTCCCCTCTGTACTGGAGTTAGGAGAAAGCATGCATGTCAAATTGATTCATATTGAAATAAAATAATTAGACGTACTGCTCACTTTCACAAAATATGGAATATGTGAGCCAATGCCGTTTACATTAAGAAGTCAAGCTACAGTAGGCCTACTTTACTTCAAAGGAAATATTTAATTTCAAGAACACATAAATATATACAGTACCAGTCAAAAGTTTGGACACACTTACTCATTCAAGGGTTTTTCTTTATTTTTACATTTTACTACATTGTAGAATAATAGTGAAGACTCAAAACTATGAAATAACACATATGGAATCATGTAGTAACCAAAAAAGTGTTAAACAAATCAAAATATATATTTTATATTTGAGATTCTTCAAATAGCCACCCTTTGCCTTGATGACAGCTTTGCACACTCTTGGCATTCTCTCAACAAGCTTCACCAGCACTTTTTGGCTGCTTTTCCTTCACTCTGCCATCCGACTCATCCCAAACCATCTCAATTGGGTTGAGGTCGGGGGATTGTGGAGGCCAGGTCATCTGATGCAGCACTCAATCACTCTCCTTCTTGGTCAAATAGCCCTTACACAGCCTGGAGGTGTGTTGGGTCATTGTCCTGTTGAAAAACAAATGATAGTCCCACTAAGCCCAAACCAGATGGGATGGCGTATCGCTGCAGAATGCTGTGGTAGCCATGCTGGTTAAGTGTGCCTTGCCCGTAGACCTCCGAGACAGGATTGTGTCGAGGCACAGATCTGGGGAAGGGTACCAAAAAATGTCTGCAGCATTGAAGGTCCCCAAGAACACAGTGGCCTCCTTCATTCTTACAGTGGCTTGTGAAAGTATTCACCCCCCTTGGAATTTTTCCTATTTTGTTGCCTTACAACCTGGAATTAAAATGGATTTTGGGGGGGTTTGTATCATTTGATTTACACAACATGCCTACCACATTGAAGATGCAAAATATTTTTTGGGGTGAAACAAACAACAAATAAGACAAAAAAAACAGAAAACTTGAGCGTGCATAACTATTAACGCCCCAAAAGTCAATAATTTGTAGAGCCACCTTTTGCAGCAATTACAGCTGCAAGTCTCTTGGGGTATGTCTCTATAAGCTTGGCATATCTAGCCACTGGGATTTTTGCCCATTCGTCAAGGCAAAACTGCTCCAGCTCCTTCAAGTTGGATGGGTTCCGCTGGTGTACAGCAATCTTTAACTCATACCACAGATTCTCAATTGGATTGAGGTCTGGGCTATGACTAGGCCATTCCAAGACATTTAAATGTTTCCCCTTAAACCACTCGAGTGTTGCTTTAGCAGTATGCTTAGGGTCATTGTCCTGCTGGAAGGTGAACCTCCGCCCCAGTCTCAAATCTCTGGAAGACTGAAACTGGTTTCCCTCAAGAATGTCCCTGTATTTAGCGCCATCCATCATTCCTTCAATTCTGACCAGTTTCCCAGTCCCTGCCGATGAAAAACATCCCCAAAGCATGATGCTGCCACCACCATACTTCAGTGTGGGGATTGTGATCTCGGGGTGATGAGGTGTTGGGTTTGCGCCAGACATAGCGTTTTCCTTGATGGCCAAAAAGCTCAATTTTAGTCTCATCTGATCAGAGTACCTTCTTCTATATGTTTGGGGAGTCTTCCACATGCCTTTTGGCGAACACCAAACGTGTTTGCTTATTTTTTTCTTTAAGTAATGGCTTTTATCTGGCCACTCTTCCGTAAAGCCCAGCTCTGTGGAGTGTACGGCTTGAAGTGGTCCTATGGACAGATACTCCAATCTCTGCTGTGGAGCTTTGCAGCTCCTTCAGGGTTATCTTTGGTCTCTTTGATGCCTCTCTGATTAATGCCCTCCTTACCTGGGCCGTGAGTTTTGGTGGGCGGCCCTCTCTTGTCAGGTTTGTTGTGGTGCCATATTCTTTGAATTTTTTTATATTGGATTTAATGGTGCTCCATGTGATGTTCAAAGTTTCTGATATTTTTTTATTTCTTCATGGTGCCGCTTGCTTGGTGGTACCCCTTGCTTAGTGGTGTTGCAGACTCTGGGGCCTTTCAGAATAGGTGTATATATACTGATATCATGTGACAGATCATGTGACACTTAGATTGCACACAGGTGGACTTTATTTAACTAATTATGTGACTGAAGGTAATTGGTTGCACCAGATCTTATTTAGGGCTTCATAGCAAAGGGGGTGAATACATATGCACGCACCACTTTTCCAGTATCTTTTTTTAAAGAATTTTTTGAAACAAGTTTTTTTTCATTTCACTTCACCAATTTTGATTATTTTGTGTATGTCCATTACATGAAATCCAAATAAAAATACATTTAAATTACAGGTTGTAATGCAACAAAATAGGAAAATTAAAGAAATGGAAGACGTTTGGAACCACCAGGATTGAGCAATCGAGGGAGAAGGGCCTTGGTCAGGGAGGTGACCAAGAAACCGATGCCCACTCTGACAGAGCTCTAGGGATCCTCTGTGGAGATGGGAGAACCTTCCAGAAGGACAACCATCTCCGCAGCACTCCACCAATCAGGCCTTTATGGTAGAGTGGCCAGACGGAAGCCACTCCTCAGTAAAAGGCACATGACAGCACGCTTGGAGTTTGCCAAAAGGCACCTAAAGGACTCTCATACCATGAGAAACAAGATTTTCTGGTCTGATGAAACCAAGATTGAACTCTTTGGCCTAAATGCCCAAGTGTCACATCTGGAAACCTGGCATCATCCATACGGTGAAGCATGGTGGTTGCAGCATCATGCTGTGGGGATGTTTTCAGCGGCAGGGACTGGGAGACTAGTCAGGTTTGAGGAAAAGATAAACGAAGCAAAGTACACAGAGATCCTTGATGAAAACCTGCTCCAGAGCGCTCAGGACCTCAGACTGGGGCGACGGTTCACCTTCCAACAGGACAACGACCCTAATCACACAGCCAAGAAAAGCAGGAGTGGCTTCGGAACAAGTCTCTGAATGTCCTTGAGTGGCCCAGCCAGAGCCCGGACTTGAACCCGATCTAACATCCCTGGAGAGAGCTGAAAATAGCTGTGCAGCAACAGTCCCCATCCAGAGCTTGAAAGGATCTGCAGAGAAGAATGGGAGAAACTCCCCAAATATAGGTGTGCCAAGCTTGTAGCGTCATACCCAAGAAGACTTGAGGCTGTAATCGCTGCCAAAGGTGCTTCAACAAAGTCCTGAGTAAAGGGTCTGAATACTTATGTAAATGTGATATTTCCGGGGTTTAAAAACCTGTTTCTGCTTAGTCATTATGGGATATTGTGTGTAGATTGATGAGGTGAAAAAACAATTTAATACATTTTAGGATAAGGCTGTAACGTAACAAATATGGAAAAAGTCAAGGGGTCTGAATACTTTCCGAAAGCACTGTATACTGAGTATACAAAACAGTAAGAACACCTACTCTTTCCATGACATAGACTGACCAGGTGAATTCAGGTGAAACCTATGATCCCTTAGTGATGTCCCTTGTTAAATCCACTTCAATCAGTGTAGATCAAGGGGAGGAGACAGGATAAAGAATGATTTTAAAGCCTTGGACAATTGAGACATGGATTGTGTATGTGTGCCATTCAGAGGGTGAATGGGCAAGACAAAATATTTAAGTGCCTTTGAACGGGGTAGGGTAGTAGGTGCCAGGCGCACCAGTTTGTGTCAAGAACTGCAACGTTGCTGGGTTTTTCACACTCAACAGTTTCCTGTATGTATCAAGAATGGTCCACCACCCAAAGGACATCCAGCCAACTTGACACAACTGTGGGAAGCATTGGAGGCAACATGGGCCAGCATCCCTCAGGAAATAGGAGTTATAATTATATATATTTTTATTTTTAATATAATACACTGTGTAATAATAAAAGTCACATCATCCATATTATGTGTCTATTGATAGATAGTCATGGTGGTTTGCTGTTCCCTAAACCAGGGTTTCCCTAACTCGGTCCTGGGGCCCATGAGTGCACTTTTTTTTGCCTTAGCACTACACAGCTGATTCAAATAACCAACTCATAATCAAGCTTTGATTATTTGAATCAGCTGTGTAGTGCTTGAAAAAAAAAAAAAAAAAAACGCATGCACCGAGGGGGGGCCCCAGGACCGAGTTTGGGAAACCCTGCTCTAAACAAGTGCTGATTCTTATAAGGCCTGCACTGTTTGGGCTGGTTCAACGCAATGACACAAAGAATGCCAGTCAACCATGCCACATTATCCCATCTTATTTAGAAGCATAATGCGGAGTTTTTTGTTTTTTTTATCGGTCTATATGACATTGTCCCATGGATACTTAACAATAGGCGATTAATATTGTACTAGCACCGACAGGACAGACAGCACCCGGAACAAGAATGGATGATACATCTATTTCCCTAAACAAGCCCGTCAATTGTGTTTTTTTAGAAAATTGGTTACTTTCATCTTGAACGTTTAGAATATATGGTTACAATGTAGATATTCGTCCGCGGGTTTTGAAAACAATTCGTGTTATTAGCCATCGAGCTAAATAACAGCTAAATCCGCCTAACATCGTCGTTCTTATTAAAATGTACAGTGTATACAACGTATTTTTTGTTCTTACCCATTCCTGTTTTTATTGTCGTGTCTTTTTTTGTGTCTCACTGGTTGCAAAGCAATATTGTCCGTCATTCCTGCAGCCCAGTTGACGGTGACGCCACCTCGCAGTCTCTGCGTTCTGGGCGGAGGCTTCTCGATCTGTCAGTGGCTGCTCTGGGCATGCTTCAGCTAGTGGCTTGGCTCTGCTCCATTTTTTTTTTAGCTGATGCCATTTCGCTTTATCAAATAGGTTAGAATTGGTGTGATGAAATAGTATTTAAAAATATGAACCTATAGATTATGGCCTATAACATTATACGACAAATCTCCAATGGCTTAAAATGTATATATTTTCTTTTTTTTATCTTCATTCCAACAGGCCTAGGGGCTTGTCCAGAGTAATGCACTGATCAGAACTTTAACCCAGTAGCCTATGTATGTGCCATCTTGCTCTCCATTTCAAGAGACCCAAATTGGAATAGGATACTTTAAATTAGGTCTATACCTGCAACACCTGATGGGCCCGGTTTTGGGGGATCATTTTATCTAAAAATGGTTGGATAAACTTATTACGCTACCTCCATTTTGCTAACCACCCAAAGACCGATCTAGGCCTTCATCTGTCAAACAGATTGTTAGATTTGATTGTGGGGGGGGGGACATTTTTGAATAGACTGCTAGTTGGATAGAGATGCAAATGAATTTAGTTGAGGATGCAAATTGCCTTGGGAGCCAACATTAATTCCTAGGACAAGTGAGATCAGCAACCAAACTAACAATTGTGTCATCTGAAGGAGACTAGATGGAAAGCAGGGGTGTGCACGATGCAAATGAAAGAAAAGTAGCAAGAACAGACCCATGTAATCCACAAAGTGTATGCCCTGACAGAACAGATCAGATAGCATTTCATTGGCAGGACTGTAACGAACTCTTCATAGACAACTAAAGAGATCAACTTCATACAATGAAATAAAACACTGCAACATCACATGATTTTCAGAATAATGCATGGCATGATGGGGACAGAAAACAGAATGCAAACCCAAGTTGGAAAAGTCACCCTGATTTTTATTTTCATAAGACCAGAAGGTAACGTTTAGGCGATAAGGAAACAAATGAAAGAAAACAGAGGACATTTACATTGTAAACAAGCCTAAACAGGCTCAACATTTCTTCAATTTTAGAGACAACCTCAAAGCAGTTCTGACATGATTAGATTTTTTAAACAAGGCACAACTTGGTAAATGCATTTTAAATGGGGAATGTACAACAGTATTCTAGAGTTCATCTGAGCATTCTGAGTTGTGCAAAGAGTCCAGTGATACATTCATTACTTACAACTCAGTAGATGAGAAGAATGAAAGCATATCATTGCTTACTCAGAATGTATCAGAGAGCAAATGTACCTTTGTTAACCTTGAGGGTAGGTGGAGGAAAAACTAATATCTAAATGAGGTAGTGAGTCACCCCCCAAAATCTGGCATCGCACGCAATATAAATAAACAAAAAGTTTATAAGAATCAACAGTTGATAAAATAATGTATAGTAGATTCGCACTTGTATCAGTCAATGGAGAGAAGTATTGAAATATGTCACTTAACAGAGTTGGGAATTGAGTGAAATGTTGAGTAAAATTTGGAAGTCAACATTTCCAAGTCCTCAAACAAAGTAAGAAAATAAAAGGCAACAAATCACTGATGTACCCTCTCTAATATGACCACCAAGGTAAACAAAGTCAAGATGGATGGTTTTGAAATGTTGCCGTCAAAATTATAAGTTTACCAAAAATTTGAAGAAATATAAAGTGCAGGCATGATTGAGAGAATTCAGCATTATATGTGTGAGTCCCAAATGGCATCATATTCCCTATATGGTGAACTACCTTTGGCCAGGGCCCATGGGGCTCTGGTCAAAAGTAGTGCACTATGGAATAGGGTGCCATTTAGAACACAACCATAGCTTTCAGAAAACAACCCACCAAAAGACGCAGAAGCTCTGCTGGTCGAGAAAAAGGTTCATGGGAGCAAAAAGAACAAAACAATAACGTAAATGTGAGTTAAAAAAAAAATTTAATTAAAAAAAAAAAACACTTCCAGAAACAATGCACTATAGAAAAATAGTATCAGTCAAAAATAACCATTACAATCTTGTGGTGCTTTAAAAATAAAAAAGACAATATAGCAACAATCCATATTCTAGCTAGGCACTTGGCATGAGGTTTTTCGGTTTTAGAGAGAAAGGCAAAATAAACTACTTTGTCTCAACATGTGTAACATATCTGGAAAAATTATCAACATCCAAAATGGACAACTGAGCACATCTGTAGGCCTGTCTGGATCAAACAAAAGTACATGACACCTGACAGATAACTCTCTCAGTAGACCACCTCAGAGCATCTCCAAACTTGAAATAAAACGCTTCCCTCTGAAATATCGTGAGAGACTGTTGGTCATTATATAAACATCAAATGTATAGCACACAATAGGAGTAGAGCCAAGCAGTTATGTACTGTACAGAGGAATCAGGATAACCACTTGTTTATTGGCACTAAAACAATGGTGTCCACAATCAGTCATACACTGAATATTTTCAAATGCTAGACAAAATCATTCAAAGTACAGGTTCTTCCATCAGACATTCTGAATCAAAGCGGTTTCAGGTAAGCCATACATTCAACTTCTGGATACAAGACTAAAAAGGAGTCACTCACAGATATACCCGCATATATTGAGAAAAAAATAACAAAACAGTAAATACAACTCCAGTAGTTATATCTAGTTCAACTAAATGTAACACTTTTAAGGGATGAATTGTTCAAATGAAAGGGTAGGGAAGAGCTGCATCATTTAAGTTACTGAGAGTTCCAAATAGGCTTTGCAAAAACCAGCAATATGTTCAGCAAGGGTTAAGGACGATCTCCTAAAAGTGTTGGAATAGCACGTGTTGATTGTACCTGTCGAGGACCAAGTGGCAAATGTTAGCCAACATTGCTACTATGAACATTCAAAATCTGTACACAATCGATGAAAAAAACTAAGCAAAACAGATAAAACTGCCTTGTTCTTCCATTTCAAAACTAGTTCACTGCAATTTTCCCTTCCTCCATGAAATGTAGGAACTGAGATTTGGCCACGCTCTCTGAGCCATTCTTCTCCATCTCTGCCATGGTGGCAGGCAGGCCAGAGTGGGACCCATCCATTTTCATCAGGCCTCCAGTCGAGCGGACCAGAGGACCACCGGCCAGGCTACCAGGCATACCACCATTTTGGATCACAGAGATCTCGTTAGTCTTCATGGACAGGCCGTTGGTGAAAGCAGCAGCATACTGGTTCCACAGAGACTGGTCGAAGTTCATTGGCTGAGGAGGACCCTGTTCCTTGGGAGGTGGCATCATCTCTGGCATCATGTTGCCAGACTCTGAGCTCATGGCTATCAGGGCCATGGGGTTGTCCAGAGAGAGGCGCTGGCCGCGCCTCGCAGAGCTGTTCCACATGTGAGTTGTAACATGCACCTAAAACAAATATAGATAGAATACACATCAAGAAAATAGTGCCAATATTCATAAAAGCGTGATCCAGAATGGATTACTACAGAAAATTACTGTTAAAAATACCTCATTTTTTGTTGCATATACATTACAAAAGTATCATACCAGACCACAGAGTCTATGAAAGATGGAGGCTTTTATAGCATGTATCTTCTATGAAAGACAGCCTTACCTTGAGGTTGCCTCTAGTGGTGAAGGCCCTGCCACAGACGGTGCAGCCGAAGGGCTTCTCTCCAGTGTGGGTCCTCTCATGGATCTGCAGGGCGCTGGCAGAGGAGAAGTTTTTGCCACAGGAGTTACACAGGTGCTGCTTGCTGGATCTACGGGGAGCACTAGAGCTGTCCCGTGGCTGCCCTCCCGCTCCCTGGGGCATCTGAGAGACAAATAGAGAGCTCATGCCCATTGAGCTCTCTGGCGGAATCTGCATCTCCAGTTGGACCAGACTGGAGGGCACCCTCATGAAAGGAGGCAAATGGCTGGGAGCTGTTGAGAAGGAGAAGATTCCAGTAAATAAACAATACTCAAAGATTACTCCCAGTCAGCCTACTCTTAAAACCATTCAGAGAATGCCATTGATTTACAATACAGCACATTCTAAACAAAGGGGTTTAAACACTTACCATACTCTCCATTAGTGAAGTACAGGCCAGGCTCTTCTTTTATGGTTTTAGGGGTGAAGCTGGGTGCCGTCAGGTCCAGAGCGCCATTGGACTCACTGGCATCCTGAGAGCCGCCATCAGAGTCTGGTTTAGGCCTGTTCCGGGTGTAATCCTCAGGGAAGGCTAACTCTGGGGACTTTGACTTGCTGCTGCCCACATGGCTGTAGACTGGGGATGAGGAGTGGAAAGAGACAGAGTCGGAGATGGCGGGGCTGCGGCCGCTCTGGTACTCTTGCTCCCGGAGGCTCTCAGAGGCTGAGGGGGCCTCTTTGGGGGGCACGCCGTCACTCTCTGAAGCGGTGCTGCTTTGGCGCTGCAGGTTGAGAGCTGAGGTGAGGTTCTTCATGTGGTTCTCCAGAGCAGCTATGCTGGAGAACACGGAGGATGGAGGAGCATGATGAGGCTGGCGTGGTTCCTCAGACGCAGCTGGTGGGAGAGAATCTGAGGTGTCGCTTGGCTTCTCCTGAGAGTCAAGATCTGTGTATTGGTCTTCCATGCTCTCATCAAAGTCGTTGATGTCCATGGACTTCTCGTCGGGCAGAGAAGAGTCCATTTCTTCAGAGGCCTCGAACTGGGTCTCTGGCATGGGGGTGTTGGGGATCTGGCCTCCCATGTGCATGCGGATGTGCTGCTGGAGAACCACAGCATTGGTGAACTTCTTCTGGCAGATGGGGCAGGAGTGCTGCATCTTGAGGGGCGTGTTGGCCCGATGGACACTGTAATGAGCTTTGAGGTTGCCCTTGGTGGAGAAGGCACGGCCGCATATCTTACACTTGTAGGGCCGCTCACCCGTGTGTGTACGGTAATGCATCTTCAGGGAGCTCTGGCAGCTGAGCACCCGGTGGCAGATGTAGCACTCGTTTGGGTCATTGGTCCTCTTTTCCAGCCCATCCACCATCTGCTGTAATTTGGCAGTTTCAGAGCCGTCGGGTTCGCCGGGAAGGTCTTTGCCGTTCATGTGATGCAGTGCTCCCATTAGCTCTTTAGATACCTGGTGGTTCTGATCAGAGCCCATTTCGTGATTGAACATGTTTGAGGAAATTGATGCTCCATCACTTCCTGATGATGACGGTCTTTGGGAGAACGGGTCGCTCCTGAAACCATCAAACGAAGGCTTGAACCCCTGCAGTGCTGATGGGTGGAAACCTGGAGATGGGATGCCAAGCATTGGCTTCATTTCCACCATGTTGGACTCTTCAATGGGCATTGACATGCCGTACGGGATACCGCTGCTGGTGGGAATGTTGTCAAGGTGTTCTGGCACAGGGTGTGGGTTCATCCTGATATGAGGGTACTTCTCCTTGTGTCTCTGGAAATGCACTTTAAGGTTTCCTTTGGTTGTGAAGCGGTTTCCGCAGATGTTACATTTAAACGGTCTTTCTCCAGTGTGCGAGCGCAAATGGATCTGGAGCCCGCTGTCGTTCCCAAAGGTTTTCCCACAGTACTTACACTTGTGTTTGTACATGCTGTCGCCACCAGACCCGTTTTTAGACTCAGGCATGTTTGGGATCTTGCTCTTTACTTTCTTAGAGGGATCCAACCCTGATGAGAGGCCAGTGAAGGGACTTTGGAAAGCCATGGAGCCTGGTGATTGAGGCAGTAACGCTGGTAGGCGGTTGGCCAGGTCTGGGAGCCCCTTCAACATATCTGCTTTGAAGGGCATCGGCCCCATGCCTCCAGCCAGTGAGGTGGGGATGCCGTTGGACTGTGGTAGTTTGCCCTGTTTGAGGGACTCTAGCGAGAGACTCTGGCGGCCGGTCCTCTTACTGATCAGGGCTGCTGCAGCAGAGAGCTGCTGGGAGAGGTGAGCTCCTAGGGCTTTAAGGGGGTCAACTGCTGTCCCTTTGGCCGAGTGGAAGCTCTGTGGAGCCATCATGGCCACCTGGATACGGATCTGCTCAGTCAGTTGGATCTGTTGGATCTGCTGCTGCTGAAGGGCCACCAGCTGTTCCAGGATCATGGGGATGGCCTGCAAGGCCTCCTGGGAGGCCTGTGGAGACTTGCGGTTGTTCAAACCACTGTTCGATGAATGCTGAGTGACGGCCACTTTGGTGCCAGGCATGGACTCCAAGGTGACATTTGAATCTTGGAGTTTGGATGAGGCCTGGTGCTGATGGTGACTCATCTCAGGCCTGGGACTGTCAGACATCTCTACCTGGTCTTGTTTGGATGGTTGTTCCTCACCATTTAATTTAGGTCCTTCCTCATCCTCCATCCTTTCCATAGACTCTGCATTGGACTTTGACAGAGAATTACTGCTGGGCTGGCAGTCATTGTGGTCATTCTTGAAGTCACCAGGGGAGTCTCCTTGTGAGAACTCTTCTGGTACTTCTCTCCTCGCTCCATCTTTCATGATGACTGCCTCATGACTTTTAGTGCAATTATTCTGATGTTCGAGAAATTCAGCCTCGTCGAAGAATTCAGCACAGCATTTGGTGCAGACCTTCGTCGTGTCCATTCGAAACCTCTTTGCCTCATTCCCAACCTCTTCAGTTTGACCGTCTTGTAGAACCCCTGTAATGAAAATCAGCAGGGCAATCAGGTTAAAACCACCATTAAATAACAAAAACCAACTAAATTCACAAAGTATAAATTCATTAGAGTCTGGATATAATTTAAAATAGCCAGCATACGCATATCGGCATGGAATTGAAATTCAATCAATTATTTATATTTTTTAATTTCAGTCAAACACACACAAATGCATTTTAACTATACTAAAGGTTGTATTCAAATACTGCAATAACTAATGGGGCTCATCTACATTAGAAAGTATGTGCTTTTGGTGGGCAAAGCTTGAATCAAAGTCTTACATTCATGAAAAGCATTTAATCAGATTTCCAGTCAATGCATTGCTAACATGAGGGTTTAGTGCACAACTGGGCCAGCAGAGGGCAACATCTGATTTGAGACAAAAACAGGGGCAACCTGGCTTTACTGACACATTTCGATTTAGAAACTGAAATACATTCCTATAGCAATCATACTTTATTATAAGGATTGGCTAACATGTGAACCCATATCATATTGTGTGGGCCTGTAATAATCAGTCCGAATTTGCCACAATAATTAAAGTCTGGGAAGTACTGTATGAACTGCCCCAGTTTCTGTGTTCAGCGTTAGAGAAGAGACACGTCATAGCTATACTCATCGTCGACATCGCTAACGCACTGATACAGGGGCAGGCGTGAACGAACTATTAAACAACCATGTAGTCTACATAACCGGCACTTAAATGTAATGTATCAACAAATGTTATATAAACTACATATGCCTATGCCCAGTCAGGGCAGTTGCTTCACACCAATTGATTTGTCTTTCTAACTTTCACACCCAGAAAAGATCAGGGAAAATCGCCCGCATATTTACATTTTAGTCATTTAGCAGACGCTCTTATCCAGAGCGACTTACAGTTGGTGAGTGCATACATTTTTCACACTGGTCCCCCGTGGGAAACGAACCCACAACCCTGGCGTTGCAAGCGCCATGCTCTACCAACTGAGCTACAGGAGGGCATATCAAGTTCTCATTTACATGCAAAGTAATACGAGCAACATTTTTACAAAATGGAACACGTGAACCGGTATAAATCCTAAAGTGATCATTTTAAATGTGTCTGCCCACCCGAGGCCATTTAACAACCAGTCGCATTGTCAAATGCTAATGTACTCTCGACTGTGGGGGGTTAGACCGCCTGTCTGCATTCTTCTAACCCAATTGTTGCTGGGTTTGCTAATCGCTCAGTGGGGTCGGGTGAAAAAGTTGCAAATTACATTGTAGGTAGGCTATTCAGAATCCGTTCATTGTCAAAGAAGTTGCCAATGTTTCAGTGCATAATAACGCAGTAGGCAGCGGGAGGAGAACGTTACCTTATCAATCACTATGCAAAAGTGGTCGATTATGAAAAAGACGCAATTAACCTACAACCTACAAAATGAGAGAAAAACCCGTTTCTAGAAAAAAACAACTTCGATTAAAATCGGGATATTCAATTAATATTTAAAACAAAGATCAGAAAAGATTGACTTCACAACGTGTCCCTCCACTCATATAACCACTTGGTGGCGCATAAATTCTATCAGATCATCTAGTCTCATAGTTCAATATGGCACGAGGTGAAACCACACAGGGGTTGCCAGTTTGCCACTTATCAATGAGAGTACATTGATACATTGTATCAAACAGAACATATTTTTTATTTAACTAGGCAAGTCAGTTACGAACAAATTATTATTTACAATGACTGCCAAACCCGGACTACGCCGGGCCAATTGTGCTCCGCCCTATGGGACTCCCAATCACCGCCGGATTATTATACAGCCTGGAATCGAACCAGGGTCTGTAGTGACGCCTCTAGCACTGAGATGCAGTGCCTTAGACTGCTGCGCAACTCGGGAGCCCGAGTGACAATTCTCAGATCAAAGAATCTCCGACAAGTCATAGCACATCTGCACTCTCCCAATCAAGGCGGTCTACGTGTAAGTGCCATCAGTAGGCTGAGGGATGTAGCTCAACGCCAGGGTTGTGGGTTCGATTCCCACGGGGGGCCAGTATGAAAAAAATAATCATAATAATGTATGTATTCACTAACTGTAAGTCGCTCTGACTAAAATGTAAATGAAAAATAATCATTCATAAAAGGTTATGTTCATTACTATGGCTTACATATGGCAACACAAGCCGCACCCCCACCCCTTGCTTGCCTACAAACCTACCACTAACGCTCCGTCCATCCCCCACCTCTCCACATATGTAGGAAAGAAAACAGTCATGCGTTAAACTGGGGGATTTATTGCCTTCAGGTCAGTTTACTCCTGAGTCACATTTCATACTGTCCGACACCTTTGTTTAAAAATTGCCACCTAACACACCACATCAAATATATTCCATATACACCTACATAATGATGGAAAGCTAAAGAAAACCTACAGTGCAATCATATTAGTAGGCTAGTCATAATGAAAGACAAACACCACATGCAATAACATCTAAAACGAATGCCCAAAATGGATAGTTGTTCAATTAGGCCTATAAAATCATAAGACTGCTTTTGTGTAAAAAAACAACAAAAAAAGTTTAAAAAAAGGTGATATTCTAAAAGATAGCCAACGAAACAATCAGATAATCAAATAACCTACAGCAATAATCACGTTTGTGATTTTCACCCAGATATTCCCGTTTCGTATTCCATAGGTACATTTTGAAAAAGTAACTTAAATTAGAGAAAAGTTGAAAGGCAGTGTCGTTTAAAGTGGGCTTCTGGCTCACTGACAAATAAAATGCAATTGCTTAATCAGTTGGTCAAACCGATCAAACGTTTCCAATTAAGAAACTCATACAATTTCAAAAAGTGAACAACTGTAGCCTATTTTGGCAACAAAAAAAAACGAGTTGAAATCTTCAACTCGCAGGTTTATTCATGAAAAAGCGTGGTCAGTTCCAAGGGTCATGATCCAGCCAGGTCAAAGTGCGAGGAGAAACATTGTATCACTTTCCAATTATTCTGTTGATATCTTGCAAAATTGTATAAATGTAACCCCGCGCGACTCTTTCTAAAAGTAATTTATCAATCCAGAAACTCACCATTTTCTGACGAACCGGGCTCATCGGAATTAATTTGCTGTGGCTTAGCTTGCTTGCGCCTCGACATGGTGCAAACATCGGGAGCAAACAGTAACACAATTTTCTTCCGTTCTTTACAAATTCTTCGGGTTGGAAAATTTGCTCCTCAAGTAGAAATGCGCATGTCAAAGTAATTATTATTATCAATAATGCATTGCGATGTATCATGGTCCTCTGACAGCTGATTGGCTCCAGTCCAAGTGCTTCCACATTATTCAAATAGGGCCCATTGATGAGAAAAGCAGTGCCATAAGGGGGCGTGAGATGCGATACTAGTGGATAGGCGGTGACGGATGGATGGATGGATGGAGTGAGGTAAAGGAGTTACAGATCTAGACCTACCTTATCTGCCATACTTTATCTATGGAAATATTGTCACTTGGATAATCATAATAATATCATTCAACTCAAAAAGTTTGTTTAGAGTACTCATTAGAAGAGTGTATTTTATCATGTAGAACAATTGTAAATACCTTTGATAAGAAATTATTCCCATGCAGACATTTTGGTTCATATTAATCTGTCATTTTCTTCCAACATGCAATCAAATATATGATTTCTTAGCCATAAACCTTGCACGCTGTCCTTTGCAATGTGATCTAGTTGAGCTAAATGAAAAATTATTGTGAAATTGGCCCCCCCAAAATGTATTAAGATCATTCATAAAGGTATTTACATGATCATTTTGTTCATTGATTTACCAATTACCAATACGTTTAGGGAAAGTATTTCTGGTTACTGAAAATATAGTTCTTATTATTATAGAAATGATGAAAATTGGTTTAAATCACATGCAAGTGAAGTACAGACAGACAACAGACTCTTCCTCAAGAGAGACACCTTTGGCCCAGAGTCCAATCACTCTGACCTTCCAGCATAATAGTCAGGGTCAAGACCCCTACTATTACTATTAAACTGTAATATCATTGTAGAAACTGTGTGGTGAACCATACTGCTATGATGATTAAAATGCTACAATATACAGTATTTTTGGGAGATGTCTTTGAGCAGCATATACTTTGTTTGTGTGCCATATGTCAGTTCAGTGCCACAATTCAGATAGCATATAGATGTACTATCCAATGTGAGGATATCCAGACCAGTGGAGGCTGCTGAGGGGAGGACGGCTCATAATAGTGTCTGGAACAGCGCTAATGGAATGGCATCAAACACATAGAAACCATCTTTGATACCATTCCACTCATTCCGCTCCAGCCAGTACCACGAGCATGTCCTCCCCAATTAAGGTGCCACCAACCTCCTGTGATCCAGATTGTAAAACAATACATGTGATTTACAATCCCCTTTTAAAAACTCAAACATTGTCAGAGCTGCAATCCCTGAAGCTCCTCCCATATTTGTCATTAGACCATGTGAGTTCTGGTAAATGGTCAAGGTGGTAAAGAATGTATTGCCCACTGAACTCATAAAAGGATAGGCCAACCTATTTTACCTACTCAACCCCCATTTCCACTGTCAGCCATCTTCACAAAAAGGGGACTGTTCTCAAATAAAATGGGATGGGGGTATTCATGCTAAAATCAGTAAGGACATGAGTAAGTAACTCTGTCCCAGATTTCAGACCACCCCATTGCCCTCCATGTTGTTGTGTGTGGTGGGAGGTGTTCAAGGTTTCCATACACTATGGACATGGAATTGATTCCATTCAGTAGAAAGATGACAACAAATCAAACAGCTAAAAGGCACATGCAAACTTTAGCCAAGGCAGAGAGAAATAGGTTAGTTTTACATCCAAAGCAATGCATTTTTCCTTGAAGTATAGTAAAGTTGAATTACAGTAAATAACGTGTAAATCAGAGTGAAACTTGAATTTGAGGGAGACCATAGAAATTCAGTAAGTCCAGTCTATGGTTATTTGTTGTTTCTGTAACAACTGTCTGATGAACGGGAGAAAAAAAATGCCTTTGTCGATGACTGTGGGACAAAGAAAAGTCCATACAGGTATATCCAGAAAAACAAATGTCTTTTACTTAGGGACTGACTGAAGGTGAAAAAGAAGGGAGGGTTGTCTAGACGCTTTATAGCCCCAATAAGAAAACGATGCTTGAATACACTGTGTTTCTGCTGCGTTCAAACGAAACAATTCAAACTACAGGCTTTATTGTTATAAATCTGAAATGGTGGGAACCAAAGGGACGTTAACAAAAAATACAACATTTCCTCAGTGCCAGCATCAGTTTGACACTAACAATGCATCACTAAGGCATGGCATTGCTCTCTAATGATAGTGTTGAATTGTTTATCAATCAACTGTAAGCACCGGAAGCATCAACACCATAAGAAAAGTACAACTTTCTTTAGCTCAATATTTGATGTACTTATTTGATTAGGTTATACAAAATAATGAGAGTGAAAATAAATACATCTACTGAAATGACTTTAATGATCATTCTTTGACCACATTACAGTTTTGTTGCTGTAAACGGTTTCATTAAGAGGTGAACCAAATAAATAATGTTTCCGCTTATGTTTCCTTATGTTAGGAAACAATGCATGACTTGGAATTCATCTGCAATTTGTATTGTAATAAAACATGTTTACTTGAGGTACAATAGGGTGTTATTGACGTATGCCCATACATTTGTTGATGTACACTACAGGTCAAACGTTTTAGGACACCTACTCATTCAAGGGTTTTTCTTTATTTTTACTATTTTCTACATTGTAGAATAATAGAGAAGACATCAAAACAATGAAATAACACATATGGAATCATGTAGTAACCAAAAAAGTGTTGAACAAATCAAAATATATTTTATATTTGAGATTCTTCAAATAGCCACCCTTTTCCTTGATGACAGCTTTGCACACTCTTGGCATTCTCTCAACCAGCTTCACCTGGAATGCTTTTCCAACAGTCTTGAAGGAGTTCCCACATATGCTGAGCACTTGTTGGCTGCTTTTTCTTCACTCTGCGGTCTGACTCATTCTAAACCATCTCAATTTGGTTGAGGTCGGGGGATTGTGGAGGCCAGGTCATCTGATGCAGCACTCCATCACTCTCCTTCATGGTAAAATAGCGCTTACACAGCCTGGAGGTGTATTGGGTCATTGTCCTGTTGAAAAACAAATGATAGTCCCACTAAGCCCAAACCAGATGGGATGGCGTATAGCTGCAGAATGCTGTGGTAGCCATGCTGGTTAAGTGTGCCTTTAATTCTAAATATATCACCAGCAAAGCACCCCTACACCATAACACCTCCTCCTCCATGTTTTACGGTGGGAAATACACATGCAGAGATCATCCGTTCACCCACACCGCGTCTCACAAAGACAAGGCGGTTGGAACCAAGGGAGTCCAAATCTCCAATTTGGACTCCAGACCAAGGGACACATTTCCACCGGTCTAATGTCCATTGCTCATGTTTCTTGGCCCAAGCAAGTCTCTTCTTATTATTGGTGTCCTTTAGTAGTGGTTTCTTTGCAGAAATTCGACCATGAATGCCTGATTCACACAGTCTCCTATGAACAGTTGATGTTGAGATGTGTCTGTTACTTGAACTCTGTGAAGCATTTATTTGGACTGCAATTTCTGAGGCTGGTAACTCTGTAGTTTCTCTTTGCATATTTGAGCTGTTCTTGCCATAATATGGACTTGGTCTTTTACTAAATAGGGCTATCTTCTGTATACCACCCCTACCTTGTCACAACACAACTGATTGGCTCAAATGCATTAAGAAGGAAAGAAATTCCACAAATTAACTTTTAACAAGGCACGCCTGTTAATTGAAATGCATTCCAGGTGACTACCTCATGAAGCTGGTTGAGAGAATGCCAAGAGTGTGCAAAGCTGTCATCAAGGCAAATGGTGGCTATTTGAAGAATCTCAAATATAAACTATATTTTGATTTGTTTAACACTTTTTGGGGGTTACTATATGATTCCATATGTGTTATTTCATAGTTTTGATGCCTTCACTATTATTCTACAATGTAGAAAATAGTATAGAATAAAGAAAAACCCTTGAATGAGTAGGTGTTCTAAAACTTTTGACCGGTAGTGTATCTGTGGTATTTTAGAAATCCCACTTTATTATCAAAATGTTAATCTAGGAGCCTGCTTTATAATTTGCTTTAAATGAGTTGCCTCTTTGTGTCCATAGTTCCTGCACTCTAATCACATACTTTGAGGAGTGATTGATTGCAGAAAGTTGCCCGCCAAATGGCAGTTTATTATTGTGCAGAAACATGAAGAAAAGGAGCATTCTCCTGAGGTGTGACCTTGTGTGAAATACTGAGACATCCATAGTTACCAGGGTCCTCTGACCATTTCACCAGTCATGCTTTTATTCCTGGAGCTGAGCCGGAAACTATACAGGCGATCTTCTTGGGGAGCTTTTAACAGTTCCTCAGGTACTCAATCACCGACTTCAGATTTTCTTCTTTACGTATTGAGTGTTTCCCCAGATCTCATTTTGATTTTTTTCTCCTCTCTTTGTGTACCTTCTTTGGTTGCATCTGAAATGCTTCCTCCCCACAAGAACCATAAATAACACCATTAAAGGAAAACTCCACCCAAAAACTATCTTTTGATATTTGTTTCATTAGTCCATTGTTAACATAGTCCCAAAGGACTAATGAAACAAATGCCAAATGATTGTTTTTGGGCGGAGTTTTCCTTTAAGTACACACAAAGGAGAGAGTAACAGTTTACATGTAAAAATTGATTTCCATGAAACGGATGGGCAATGTTGAAGAAAGACTGGGAGCAAAAAATAATACAATTGTGGTGCCACTTCTTTTATGATAGTCTTCCAAATGATGTGTTTTCTTTTAAGTACAGTTGTCAGATAAATGTTTCAGAATGACAGAAAGAGCAGAGCTACAGTGGAGGCCATAACATGAACGTTGTTGTTATGTTCTAAAGGGCCATAACTTTAATTTCCGTTTAGTTATTTGCTTTTGTTCTCTATGATTGTGTAACCATCTATACACACAGTGCCATCCAGCAAATCCAAAGGCTTTCATCAACCGATCCATAGTCTTAGGTTGTTTTCAATATCGATCA